ATTCTCAGCTTTTTAATTATATAACCAAGCTCATGTTCTAATATTGAAAGTAAAGTTAATAGTTAAACTTATTTAATGATCATTAAAATACGTCAAATCTACATTGAAATTTTAAAAATCACTCCCAAAGACCACAGGCAATCTAAAGTAAAGAAAAATAAAAAAAGAAAAAGGTAGATCGCTCTCAAATGAATTTAAGAATTCTATTATCAAAATAAATAGCATTATAAATAGTACATAATACAACTATTATAAGTAGTTTATAAATGAAAAACAATGTATACATGTAAATATAGTATTATTAATAATATTAAAAATATTTTTATAAATACTTGTAAAGTTTTTTAATATATATAAATAGTAAAGGAAATATTTTGAATTTTAGACACATATTTAAATAGCAATGTTATAATAAAAAGACTGTTCTTATTTTTTAAGCAGCCATAGTATATATTTGGTAATAGTGATAAAACTTAATAATATCCATAGTGTTGGAAAGACTTTAATACAAAAATAATTTCAATTGCATATATCGAAGCCTCATCTTCTTGAGTTGTAAATAAAATTATCATTTTTGAAATATAAGCATCAACTTTCCAAAACTTTATATTCAAATAACCTTTCCTAAGAGGAAGTTAATGAAAAATACTTATAGTTAACAATTCCTAGACCAAATAAAAATCACTTATTTCCAAAAATTACAAATTTTTAATTTTATGCCATTACTTAAAACATCCTTTCACATATATCTCTTGCTCTTTTATTACAATATTTTAAAGATTCTCCATTCATTTTTTTATGTTCACAATTTTAATAATAAAGTATCCATATATATATATGATAAATTTGCCTATAAAATTGTTCTTATTTATCGAAAGAAAAGATTTTCCTTATAAGTTTTAAAATAAATAGATATATTGTTCTAATTCACCTAAAAGATAACATATTTTCTCAATCTTAAAATATAAAAGTATTCAATTTCTCTTTAAATCTATTTTGCCTTTAATATCTCATCTTCCTAAATCAATTATATTTTTACGAAAATCTTAAAATAATTTTATTCTATTTAATAATAATTTTTTCAATTATAAAAATTCCTAATAGAATATAATTTAATTTTAATTCATTTTTTTTTTTCATTTGGTAAGTAATTATTATTATTGCTGATGGCTTATAATTAATCATAGAATTCAAATTAAATTGGGATAGTTGAAAACTAAAAATTTAAATCAAATCAAATTAATTCAGAAGAATAAATCCTTAAATTTACAGTCAGATAAGACTTTTTAAATGTTCTAGGTATAGCTGCTGATTTTCAAGCAGGCTTAGAACTTTAAAAAAAAAATAATAACCTTGGTTAATATGAAACTATGTTGCATAACAAATTAATACTATAAGTTAATCTTTCAAATTCAATACATTGCGATCAATATAATTAATATCTAAAATCACCCCATCTTGCAGAAATATTGAAAAAAGAAAAATTAAAAGCAAAAGAATTTTTATAATCCATCAAATAAAAAGAAAAATTTGATAAAAAAATTGAGGAACAACTCTAATTTTACGAAACAAATTGTTTAGTGGATAGACCTTTTATGTAACAATAAGAATTAAAAAATATTTAACATGAAGTTAAATTCAATCAAGAAACTGTTTAAAACATTATTAACTCTATAAATTAAACAGATTAAAAATATAGAGATTTATAAGATGGAAATACTTAAGCAGAAGAATTATCTGTAACTTAAATTGATGAACATATTTAGTAAAAATTAATTTTATTAATCTTAGATCAAGAAAAAAATAAGCTTCTGACAAATTGTCAAAATAATTAAACAAATAGAAAGGGTTTTAAGATTGTTGTCAATTATTTTGAATTATTTTGTTAATCTATTATTTTATAAAATTGGATTATTTATAAATGAGTTAATATTTTGGGTCCTGTAAATTTAATTTTAAAAACTAATTTTCTAATTGTTTTATATTGTCCAAATTTTTTTGATTCTTAACTTTTAAACTATATAATCCTAATTTTAGCTAAAATCTATTTCTATTATAGTATCTGGTGAATATAATATATAAAATTATGACTCATTAAATCGACTCTATAATTTATGTTTCAATTTCTCATTTTAAAAAGCCCTTTCTACTTCTCTTTACTTTTTAAAACAATTATATAATTTAAAACCTCCAGTGAAAACAAAGCTTTCATATTATGATATCACTTGAAATTTTTTCAATTTTTTAGCTTTCTTTGTTAAGTCAGGATTTATACTCTCTTTTAGCAAGTTTCACAAATTAATTTAATTCATTGAGTGTTATCAAAACTTATGTACCATTTTATCATAAAATAATACCTATTGATTTAACATTAAGAATTCTGATAATTATTTCTTTAATAGAAAGCGTATTAACCTATCGAGTATTCTTATTCAAAAAACATTAGATTTATTCTGACATTTCTGACTTTTGCTTATTTAAATCCAAACTATTTACAATTTATTTTGTTACCCTAATATTATTGATTGCATTATTTTACATTATAACCAATAACAATTATTTTTAAAAATTTAAATCAATTAATTTATTGAATATCATGAATTTACTTTCTAGTATAATACTTTTGTCAGATAAATTAGTGGATTTATTAATGTTAGCTATATAAAATTATTCTAAAAGTACTTTAAGGAGTTTTATCATTTATTTATGTTTCGATAAAATTATTCTTTCTTTATTAATAGATTATTTTCTAGACAATAAAGATTTATCAAAGAGAATAATTTATATTTTAATATTTTGAATAAAATATCAATTTATTAAAATTAGGATGAACAGGAAATTTCTGACAATTAGTATAGAATTCTTATTATAACTATTATTAAATTTGTTTTTATTACTAATACTTTTTTATTGTTTTTCAACAATCACTTATTTATCGTTTTTTTATTTAATTCTTTTTTTCATTATTTATTAATTATACAGAAAGTTTTAAAAAGAATGTTAATTAATTTGTTTTATAAAAGTATGATAAATATAAATTAAATAAAAATATTATAATAATTCTTTAATATAGATGATCTAAAACAATAGCGAAAAAATAGGAAATAAAAAGATTTAGAATAACAATAAATCCTTTTCATATGAGTTAATGCCAAAAAATAGCATAAAAACAACTTAAATTTGTTGTGCAATTGCAATAAATCATTTAAATAATTTTTTAATTGCATCCTCAGAAAACAATATCAAAATAAATTAATTTAAAAAAGGAAAAATAAAATAATTATCATAAGCATGTTAACATATTGAAACTATTACAACCCTTAATTTTTTTTAGAAATAATAAAATTTTATTTCTAGTTCTGGAGATGCCTCAATTATTATTTGGTCAAATAATTTACTTAATATAAAATCCATATGTAAATTAAAAGGGCATTAGGGTTACATAAATTGTCTTGTTCTTCATCCAATTTAAGAGAATCTGATAATCAGTGGATCAGATGATGAAAAAATTAAATTTTGGTCAACTAAATAGGTTTTTGATTAATGGTTTTGCACTTAAACAATCAAAATAAAATAAGGTGCAATTTGTGGATTAGCTTTAAATAATAAAGGAGATACTTTAATCTCATGTGGCTAGGATAACAATATTTTAGTGATTAAATAAACTAAAACACAAGAATGGCTAATTAAATAAGAGATTCATTAAGATAAATGTGGTTTTCGATTAGCATTTATCTAAAATAATATTTTTGTTTACTTGCCCTTGAGTTCTGCTAATATGTAAATATACTCATGCCTTTCTTCAAGAAATTACAAAAAATTGAAAGAAATTCCTATTCGAGGAAATAGATAATCTTGTTGTTTGGCTTTTCCAGCCCTTTACATATCATCGAAATCTATTATAGTTATGAAAAATGGTTATAATATAAATTTGTTAAAGGTTACCACTCTTTCTTCTTCTGTCGAATGCAAATTAGTACAATCAATAGATTTAGGCAGTTAAAGTTAAGGATATTTCTCTGGTACTATGAGTTAAGATGGAGAATATTTAATTATTTGGGATGAATCAATTAGGCAAATTTAAGTTCGATATTATCAAGAAAAATGACAAAATTATTTGAAAATTTAAAAGTTTATTTTAAATGTATTTAAAAATTCATTATAAAAATATCACATTCACTTTCCCTTCACCTCCTAATTTTTATATTCTTCTTTACTGTATTGGATAGAATATTTCATTTTCTTAATTAAATGATTTAATATTCAACTTAATTACAAATTGATTGATAATTGATGCCTATATATCACATAGTTTTATTTATTTTTAAATAAACAAATATAAAATAGGCAAATTATTAAAAAAGATGATCAATTAAAAGATTGCTTTAAATTAAAAGTATTTCTAAAAAAGATTTGAAAGATAGTAAAATCAGATATAAAAGTATTTTTCAAAAACATACTCGAATTAATATAATATCAAATATCCAATTAAATAAATAGCTTCTTAATTCCTTTATGAAATGTACCATTAGTAATAAATTTCAAAAGAAAATATATGTATTCAAATGAAATCATCATTTTGCTTTTCTTAAGATTTATACTGAGGAAGAAATTAAAATTTATAATATTCTTTTTGGATAAAAGATTAAATATTGTTAGAATTTATAAGTTTAATAAAAATGTTGATCATTAAACCTTAATATCAAATCCAATAAAAAAATTAATATTAACCACCACATCTAATTAATTTAATTTAATCATTAATATTCTTAAAATTTATTTAGCAAAAATAAATTCCAAACAATCAAAAAAATTTCATTAACCACTTTAAGATCTTTGAATAATTTTAGAAAAAATGATGATTCATAATTTTGAATAAGACACTTTATTCTAGAATTATGATTGTTTAATATATATTCTATTGAAATCAATTTAGATGAGGATAGATCGTGAAATAAAGATGAATATGATGAATAAACATTTAACTCTATGTCTTCGAAACAGAAATTTAATTCAAAGATAATTATAAAGAAAATAATTATTTGTCAACTAAAATTTTTTCTATTTAATTAAGTATAAATTTAAATATTGTCCGTAATATCTTCCACTATTATAGCAAAAACTTGAATAAATTAAAAGATAAAATGAAAGATAATATCAAAATTTTGATTAATATGCATTCTAATGTAAGTGTTGCTATAAAACGAAACTTTTAATTTATTTCAGTAACATCAATACTTATTGAATAATATTCTTAACAACTAATGTATTTATGGTAATCCAGTTTTAAGTTTTAAAAATATATAACAAAATATTGTTAAAAAGTTTATAAAATAATTAAAATTTGTTTAGAAAATGATTCACTACATAATTAGTTTGATATAGAAATTAATTAAATTTAATTGATATTATATAAATATTCATTCCTTATACAAATAGTATAAAAACAGAAATCATGGTAAAAACTGCTTATTAAAATCAGTGAAGTGAATATGGAATATATGTGTGATAATTTAAGTCAAACCTAAGAGTAGAGAATATATTTGCCTTTATGAAATATATATATAATCGTAACATGAAATATCTTGGGATGAATATCAAACAAAATTGAATTTTTGAATATATCATGGATTATATTTTTTGAGAATATTTTAATATTATTAAATATGATATAAGAGTTTTATGCTTCAAAATGGTTACAGATTAACCATCTAGTAAGTGTTATAATTTGCATATCAATCCAATAGATAATTTCAACTTAGTATTAATGGGGAACTTTAACTTATGTTAAATATCCCGTTACACCTCTTCATATACTGGCAGATACACATTCATCAGGTGCTTGGACATCTTAAACTAGAACATTAACAGGTTTTGTAGAAGAGCCTTAAATTATATTCTCAGTATATAGAATGCACTTTGAAAACACAATGACTGGTGGATATACATTCTCAATAGCAATATAATCATCAACGTGTAATAAATACTTTATTTATTTTTAGCATTTAAAATCTTTGTTAATGCTACTTCTCCATAGAAAATTTATAATGTTTGGATTAAATATTTGGCCTTCGTTGATAAAAACAAATAAGTTATTCATTAAGAAATAGCTTAACCTGAGGCTATTGAAATTTTCAAAGAATAACATTTTAATCGAAATTTTATTATGGCATTACCAATCATTAATTACTTATGTTTCACAAGTGAATTCACATTCAAATTTGAAGTAATAGTATAATTTAACCAAAGATGCCAATTATTGATTCAACTTTTGTTTAGATGACATTTTAAAGTACAGGAGTATCACAAATAGGATTTTAAATTTTACTATCTACATAAAGTCCAGTTTATCATTATGGAACCTCTTAATGGGCCCCTAGTTCTAACAATTTAAATTTAGATCCATATATTGTGTAAAATGTTCAGATACCCAAGCTGTAACAATCAAATACCATAATGTTCCCTCTCTATATAGGACTTACATCTGATTTAACTTCTGAAGTAAATATAGAGGATTTTGATTAAGTTATAAGCACAGAGATGTCTTTTAAAATAGGATCATGTAAATTATAAATGTATTTTAGCAATAACAAGTTCTATAACAAGCGGATGGTTTGATTATATGTTAATCTAACCAAATTATGAACTTTCACCTCTTCTCTTACAAAGCTTCTCATAATAAGAATATTATGAAAATGATGGAACTTAATTGATAACTGTAGAATTACCATTATATTAAACTACATATACAAGCACTACTAATTGGATTGATATTGATAATACTTCTATTGGTTTACAAATTGAGATCACTACAGAATGCATATATAATTATAAGCATGATTACTGGTTTTTAGGATCATTTGCTGATAATTAGAAATATATAGATGATTTCTTTTACTGTTCTCAAGGATCCAATAGGATTAAATATATTATTAATCTTACTGATGGTGGAAGGCTTGAATACAAAACAATTAAATTTATATTAACACCAACAAGTGTAGAAATGTATCAACAACTTGACAATATAAATTTTGATGAAGAATACAGAAACTTAAAAATAGTAATAAGTTAAGTTAGATGATTATTTATTTAAATTAAAAGGATTATTCTTGATTATTAAAAATAATTAATTAAATTTATTTAGATTAATATATACTATTCTGGGTTGTCTTCATTAATTAGTTAAAATAAGTATTTAACTGCATAAAAATCTGATTTGAATTGATTTGAAACAAAAATACATAAGTTGTAAATTTTAAATTATCTATATCTATATCATCTAAGTCATCTAAATAGTTTATCCTTTAATCAAAATTTCTTCTCTTCAGAAGTTCTATTAGATAATGATATTTTGTTTTTTATGTGCTTATTTTTCCAAAATTAACCTTAAATCCGTTTGAGATGTATTTAAGCTGTTAAATTTGTTAATGAAATAAAAATATTAGATTTTAAAAGAGATTCAAATGAGGGTTAATTCAACAAAAACGAAATTGAAAATAATAATTAGACTTTACAGATTGCAATAGATTCAATCAAAGATTTATAATTGTTTTTCAACCAATCCTCTTCTGGATTAAAATTGAGAAATGAAATAATTTTGTTGGTAAAATAAAATTAGCATTCATATATTATTAGAACTCGAGCCTTTTTAAGTTTTAGCATAGTTTTTGTTTTTATTCTTGAGTTTTTACTTTAGATCTATCCAAATTCAAGGTTTAGGTCCAATTATTTAAATCATAGATTTCCTTTTTAATCTATTTAAAACAAAGCAAATCTCTAAAAATTTAATTTTGTGATCTAAAATAAATATTTAGATCAAATAAGCTTAGATTTGATATATTTCTCAATCAATTACCTTGCAAATAATAAAAAATTTTACTCCTATTACTATTAAAATATTTGGAACATTTTCCACAACAAAAACTAGCAAATTCTTTCTTTTAATCTGATAATAATAAAGCAGTATTTCTCTTCTTATTCTAAAGTCATCCAAACACATAACTTATTTTTATGAATAAATTATTTTCCTTAAAAAATATTAATTTAAATAATCTAGGTTGTATAAATAAGTTTTCATCTAATATTTTTTATCAAATTTAAATTCTTAAATAATATTCATATGTAAGTAAATAAGATGTTTTTTCTGAATAATTTAAAATCAAATACTATATTGATCAGCAGTTTTTTTCTCAAGTTAATAATCATATTGAATGGAAATTAAACTTTGTTTACTTTTAGATTTCTGATATATATCCAATTAATCTTTTAGTATTATATAATATCATTTTTTACTTCATATTATAATCCAAAGCAGCCATATTCATTTTAACTTTCAAATGACTTTAAATATTTTAGAATAATGCTTTTAAGAGTTAATTTTTTATATTTTCATTAACTAATTTTTCTAATAATCCAAACTCTGAGTCATTCTTTATTAATTATTTAACTTGGGTTTTTTTAAACAAATTGTTTAAATGCTTTTAGATTTATATATTTCTTATAAGCTGCGAAAATACTTTGAATGTCTAATCGCATTTCAAATATAATTAGATTTATGTTATTTATTAATTAAATTGTTGCCTTAACCTTTTAATCTTTAATTAAAATTATCGAAACCTTAATTTCGATCTAGAAAATGAAGTCAAGAAGTTATGGCTTTTTGCATTTTAAAGATAAGTAAATTAGTTTAAAGAATGGTTAAAATTAGAAATGAATAATGGTTTTATGATTGAAAAAAAAATGAAAAATTAGGAAGTAAGTGAACCTACTTTAGATAGTATTAGAACTAAAGTATAAAAAAATGATTTTATAACATTAAGATATATAAGATATTTCAACTTAAAATAAATGGAGATAAATTCACTATTAATTAAAATTTCAACTAACTTAACAATTAACTTTAAATGAAAATATTCAAATCAATAGGATTAATTTTTATAATAATCAAATGTAAGAATAATGTTAGGTTGACTAGGATATTATTTTTACACCATAATTTTACTTGCATCTAATAATATTTTAAGCTTAGATAATCAAATATTTTTTTAATTTAAAAAATCTAAGAGCAATTCTCTTTTTTTACTCGTTTCGATTCTAAAACAATTTTTTTAATATATGAAATTGTTAAACTTTAGGAAATTTAACAATAATATATTCTTTAATAGTATCAAAAAAAAAAGCATTTTCATCCACATATGAAGATACTATTTCTTTTAAAATTCTTATAAAATAATGTAAATTAAAAGTTAACAGAATAAGTAAATAAGGTATCTATATTTCATAAGATTAATTCAATTAATCAATATAAATTCCAATACCGACTGCAATTGATATTACACAAACTTTGGCTGAATAAGCATCTAAATTATTAAGTATATATGAGACAAAAGGTTAATATTTTTAACTTAGTTCTTGATATAAATACACTAATGATAATAAAAGAATTCCTTTTTTAACAATATTTTCTTCATAATAAGAAAGAAAAATAATAAGAAGCTCTTTGATGACAATTTTTATTAACTCCCAATAATAAGCATCCAATTTATATTCATTATATAAATATCCCCATTTTTGTCTAGTTCTTTTTAAATGTAATTTTGATTTATTTGAATACAAAGAAATAAAAAAAAATAGAGGTATAATTATAGCAATTAATATTAAAACAGGTAAGCAAAATCTTAAGAGCCAGTTTTAATGAATCTCCGTATCATATCTATTGTTAACATTAGCTTAAATCCACTAAAAACCAGAAATTTGTCTATATGATATTAATGAAATTAATCCACCTACTAAATATGGTTGAAGGTATATGTACATATATATTAATGTTGTAGTTATGACATTTAAATTATATTAAAGCCTATCTAAAAATAAAGCAATCCAATATAAACCTAAAAACAACATAATATAAATGAAAGGCATGAATAATTACCAAATAATCCTTGAATAATGTATTGGAATAACAAAAACCTCCAATAAAAAACAATCAAGTGAATGTGTTATTGTTTATATTGGATTACTAACAGAATTAAAAAAATTATCAACATCAACTGGTGTTTAAAATTTGAATGTAAAAATAACAGAGACAATTTGCAAATGGTGAGTAGTAAGTTTTATTAAAATACCAAAATTTGAATGATATTGAATCTTTGTCAGAAAAATTCTTGAGATAATTTTTTTAAGAATCATTTATTCATTTAATTTAATGTTACTTTTCACAGAAATCAATATCGAAATTAATGTCCTAAATAAATAATTATAATTATTTACCATATGCTGATAGCAGTTATAGCAACAATATTTTAATTATTATCAACACAAGATCCACAAGAATATTTAGAACTTGTGGAAAAATGTCCTTATCCCCTTAAATTATAAATATCACATTCTTCACATAAGGCTCCAACATGTCCATAAAAACAGGATATATCTCCTTCTATCCATCCACCATTACAATTAGATAGTAAATTGATACATTAACTGATCTAATCAGTATCAAAATAGGGTCTCCAAAAACCTGGCTTTAGTTTTAATTATGCTGATTTAATTTCAATAGTTGAGAAATCATCTTTCTAAGAACAGTTATTAGAATTAAGAACCAATGAATACAATCCTTGTGATGCATTACAAGGTTAACAAGTACCATCATAAAGACTTTTTATTTCTCCTATTTAGCAAGGTAATGATTTAATATTCATTCTTATAAAATAATTATTGTGATATCCCGTTATTTCTTAATTTTTACCATAGATAGGGATGAATATTGAATTACAATTAAATTATAATTATAAAGTGAGGTTTTATTAATCATCTAAGTAAAAGATTATATTATCGAAATTATACTCAGATTAATCGAATAAAACAGAACTTAAACTAGTAAAGTTTTATGTAAAATCTAAATCTTCATTTTCATTTAGTATCCTACCATTTATTTAACATTTAGTATCATTAAGATTTTCTTGAATATTATTAAATTAATCTAATGCAGACAATCTTAAATGTAGATTATATGCAATATATTCTTTTTTTTATTAATCAAAATATTGATATTTTAAAATAGGCTATCCATTAGGAACATACAATATATTAGAAGTAGCATTTTAGAATATTTAATTTTGTTAAATCTGAATTTCCTCTATTAAAATATCTTCTCTTTCTAAGATTTTTATTTTAGGCAAAAAGTTTTATAAATCTAAAGTAACTTTTAATTACGAAGGAAGTTATGCAAAATTATTCCCAAAAACAGTTGCGATATTTTCCTCGATTATCGAACCTTATTTAATTAAATTTTAACTTATCTAATCTTAAAAGTATAAACCACCTCCAGATTGAGCTTTATTATATTAAACCAGAGAGTTCAATATATAAAAGCTATCAAACCCTAATACATATATTGATCCACCCTAGGATTCTGCGGTATTATTTTCAAAAATAGAATTTTTAATCAAAGTGGTAATATTTTAAATGTAAAGGCAAGTACCTTTATAAGCAAAATTGCTAATACATCTAAAGTTTTGTAATTAAAAATCATATTTTTTTTGATGTATTGAGAGAAATAAAGTTTATAAGATTCTAAATTTTTTTATATCTTTTATTATATTTAAGCAACTTAATTGACCACATTAATTATTTTCAAAGAAAATATTGTTCATGATAATGATAGTCTAATCCTCTTATATATTAACATTAAGCAGCCCTTTTTAACAAATTTTGCAGTATATGTTAAAAAAAAATAAATCAGATATAAATATCTATGTTGCTTATGGATTGATATCTATGAGGCCAGATATTGGTTAGCTTTATTGCAAATTTATTTAATTAATAATACAATAACTATTAGATAAACTATCTTGCATTTATTTATATTATAATGAGATTGGGGAAGCATAAAGGTTCATTTCCTTTTAGCAAATTTATTTTTCAAACTAAATATTTATCTCCATCTAATTACATTTTTCTTTAATTGGTATTTGGTCTAATATTTCTATATTAGATCCTTAAAAATTCACAATCCTAATAGTAGAATTATTTTGCATTTATTAAAAACGTATTAAGGAATTTAAAGTAGTTGAGTTTATAATATTGCAATTTTAAATTTCAGCAGAAGATATCTAATTTAAAATACCTAAAGATTCTTGGAATAATTATAAAATCTACAAATTCTTGATGCTTACTATCTTAGCATAAGAAATTTCAAATAAACTTCTCCCAAGTTTCAATTCTAATAATTATTTTTGATTTAATTAATTAAATTTATTCATAAATCTTAAATAGCCTTACTAATTATTTCTTATGTATAAATTTTCAAGTTTAAATTATTAGTGCGATTTTCCATAGAGTGAAAATTCAACATAAAAAATTGATCCCTTTAAGGAATAAACATCATTTATAAATATATCATTTAATTGAATTGTAGTGCTTTCTTATATATTTTAAATATAAATTAATCCACCTTTATTTCTACAATAAATATTATTTGCTGATATATTTTTAAATTATATATCCGAGGTTACAGAAGTCGAAGAATCAATCAAAAAAGCCCCACCATTTTCATTTTCATTCATAAACAAGTCGATAATTGAATTAATTACCGTGTCCTTAACATACATTGAAGCCTCTTTTTCAAGATGTATTTCAAATCCTGATCTTGAGGAATTTGAAATAATTATATTCTATATCACTATATATTAGCATATAATTTTTCCATTTCCTGTTTTCACTATTATTGGAAAAGTCTCTTATATTTATTCAATAAATATTTCCTGATCTTCTAAAAAACCCCAATATAAATAGGGTTACAAAATTTAATAATCAAATAGGCTGTTTTTAATAAAAGTGCTATTTTCTATTATTATACTCTTAGATTAGATAAATATAATGCTGTTTGAAGAGTTTGTAACAATATTTTCTAAAACTTATAAATTATTAAGGAGTAATGTACAAGATGTGCAATCAAAAAAAAAAACTAATCCAGAATTGATTTAATCTATGCTTATATACTAATGCATTATATTTCTTTCAAATATAGAATTCTTAATTTCAATTTTATAATCTTCTTCTGATGATATTTATATAAGTGAAACGGTATTAAATTTATTGGTTGTCAAAAGTAGATTACCATTAAAATACATTTCTGACATAAAAATTTTTTTAATTTAAGTTTTTAAAATGGATGATTTGATTTAAATAAAAGGCTAGTTTTTGGTATAAGCTTTTGAAATTGATATTTATTAAATGTCTATATTCGGTACATTTAAAATTTATATCCAAATATAATCATTTTAATTATTATTTTATTTAGATAAACAATCGTAATCTTGGAAAAGCCCTTTTAATGGTTAATTATCGAGCTATTTTATTATTATTTAGCTTAATTTTAATTCATTTGCATTTACAACAAATAAATCAGGTATTCCATAGGCTTTTTAGATGATTAAATCTTGAATTTGTAGAAATGATATTTCTAAATAAATCAATGCAGCATCTATAAATTCAATGTTAGCTAAATTGGGTATATTTACTAATTCATTTTTAAGCAGCTATATTTAATTCATAATTATTTCTTTTTTTGGTAATATGGTTGAATTTATTTTAATGAACTTAGTATTATCACTATGTTAGTTTAATGAAAATAATATTTTCTCCATATAAATATATTCAATATCTGTGATGGCATTATATATTAGCAAGGAATTATTATAAAGTTTATTTTGTTCAAAGTTTAAATCGGACAAAATTGAATTGGGATTAAGGTTTATAATTTTTCCAGAATAAATTGAATTTAATTTAAAATCAAATGATATTAATTCAAAATGTTTCAAATTATTGATTGTTAAGAGTCCCATTTATGAATATATCAAACAAGAAAAAATATGAATTTACTTCATTTTTAATGAACCTTTAGATTAAAGTATTAATGATTAATTAAAAACAGATTGTTCAATATTTAACTCCTTTATTTCAACAACATCATTTTCTTTAAGATCAAAATAAAATACATTGGTATTGAAAAATGAACTATGCATAATTTTAAAGTTCTAAATTTTTATCGTCTAAAAAGATTTTATTTATTCAATCTTTATCAAGGCTTGAATTTAAAACTGTCTTGTACAATTTTTCACAAAAAAGTTTTGAATTAAAACATTTTCAGAATTTTCTATAATGATATAGAAAGTGGTTAAATTATAGTCTTGCTAATATATTACATCAACTATTTCAACAGTTTAATTAAAAAGACTAGTAAATTTTAGTAAATTTGGACCAAATACAAAATATTAAATCTCAAATTATATTCCTTCAATGCGGACTCTTTTAAAATTAATAAAAAATAGTTATTTTTAAAATTTGAAAGTTGTAATATTATTTCCTTAAATTTCAAGTTCAACATCTCTAATAAAAATAAAATTAATAATTACATAGCAGAGAAAATATTTGCACTAAAGTTTTACGAAATTTGTAATTAATCATTAACCAAACAAATTTATTATTTTTAGCTTGTAATTCTTATAATAATTTATTTAATTTATTATTCATTAGTCATTTGATAAAACTCTTTCTTCTCAAACTATAATATTTAAATGAATTATTACTTAAGCAAAATTTTAAGTAGAAAACAAATGATCACTTAAAATATTATCTTGTTAAAATTTAATCTTGTCCTCTTCTTTTTAAAATTGTGCAATTTAGTCATAATATTCATCAGCATTACAAATTAAATTTAAATTAAAAATTATTTATTTTATACAGGGACCATCTTAACATTCTACATATAATCCTAATTGTTAATCTTGGATTCCACTAAATCCAATTATACAATAATTAGAGAAATACAAGAAATCTTAATTCTAAAACATGGGGTTGATTGAAAGTATTTCCTCTTAATCTCTTTCTTTGCAGAATTCACAATTAAATGGGCAATTAATACATTTATTATTTACTAAACCACGATTTCTTCCATTTAAGCCTTATTGACATTTAACGCAAACATTTTTATTATTCAGTAATACACATTCTAAGCATTTTTCAGGACAGATTTCAATGCATTATTCTCCATTAAGTTCATATCCTGGTAAACAAGCAGAACAAATTATCTCATAATCTAAATCATTTTAACTTAGACCATAATCTATAAATTTATGATCAACATCATATCTATTTATAATGATACTATAAAAAGAACGAATATCGTTTTTCCAATTATCTTTTGTAAATTTATTTTATTAAAAACAACTCAAACAATGCAATTCTAAAGGACAAGATTGGCATTATCCTGTTTTTTTTACAGCATAATAGCCATTATCACAAACAAGACAAATATGAGATGCTTTTTTGATAAATAGCTATTAATTTACATCATATGCAGCTGTTATTTATTAAACTAAACAATATACAAAATTTAATTTAAATTTTGAACATTGGTCAATGAATGAATAAACTATTAAATTTGGATTATAAGATCCAAATAAGCAAATTTGGGCTAGGAGATAATTATCTATTCTTGATTCATAAAATTCTTCGCAATTGTCGATATAACCATGTAAACAGTTTAAATAAGAATCATGAAAATAATAGCCTTTTTTGCATTTTGCACATTTCATTATTGTTTCCCCCTAATAAGGTTAAAAATCATGATCTAGTGAGTTTGTAATTTTATCTTATACACCAATTTCATAAGCATAAATACAATTTTGTTTTTCGTTTATTTTACAATCTTAAGCATTTAATGATAAAAAATATAATTAATTGTCGGAACACATTAAACACTACATTATTTTGAATCGTTCTGAAAATTTGCAAGCTTTGCAGAAATTACCACATTTTTAACATTCATCTTTCTTTAGACCATAACCAGGTTCACAGGATAAACATTTGTTTAGACTAAAACAATTTTTACATGAATGCGAACATTCTAAACAAGAAGTACCATCATCTGATATATAATATCCAGTTAAACATTAAAGACATTTTTTTTCATTTATATTTACCTTTGTACATGCTTAATCTAATAAAACACAATTAAAATTAGTATAATATCTATTTTATTTACAAAAACCAAATATTGAGTTTTACAAATGCTAGATTCCAAACTCTTAACAAGTTTCTATGTTAATTTTTGTAATGTCACAAAAATTATACACCCCCTCTAATAATATCAATTAGTAATTATTATCAATATAATAAAGATCATAGTCTATTGTAGATCTTATTTATTATGTATAAGCATCTTAATCTAAACTTGTTTATTATGTGATGTAATCAATTGTACAAATAGGTTTTATATACCAACTACTAGGATTTAATATACAATCTGCACAAAATAAATCATAGGAATTCCATTAAGGACTACTATAATTCAAATTATTACCATTTTATGCATTATTAATTTGCTGGCAGATAAAAATATCCAAATAGACATTAAGATTTTGATAATTCCACTTTAATTTCGTTCTAGTTCAATTATGGATATAAATCTGAATATGATTAACATTATTATTCTTTTTCAAATTAACCAATAGGACAAACACATTAATGAAAATCTTCTAAAAATACTCTTTCATTGTTATCATGACAAGATAAGCAATTTGAAATTAATGGACCATCACAAGTTAAACAACTATAGTGACAATCTAAAGATATTAATTAATTTTTACAATATTTGATATTTAAATCAGTTTATAAATTCGATACAAAATAAAAATGAACCAATTATCCTTTCATCTTATCGTAAACTGTATAATCACCTCCAAAAAAAGCATAGTATTTTGTATTTGTAAACAAAGTATTGTATTTCTAATCTCCAAGCTCATACACATGAGATTTTAAAATTTGATTGTCAAAATAGTTTATTCTAAATTATGTTTTTCTATCTTTTCTCTTATCTAGTCCATATTCAAATGAAATAAAATGCCATTTTGATAATAATTCAAAATAAGGCAAATCATTTCTTAAACTAACCTTAAAATTAGTTGCTTTACTAAATATTCTATCTGGATATGGATAAAAAGTATGATGAGATATTACATCATATCCACATTATTCTTTGTTTGATAAATTGATATCTACTGTAACTTTAAGTATTTCATCACCAATATTTATTTCATCTAAATAATTTTTAAAAATTGTTAATCTAACTAATAAATACTTTTTTAATAAATAAGCATCAAGAGTATAATATTTAGCCCAACCAAAAAGACAAAATTTTCTACCAAATTAATCAAATTCAAACTCTTTTTATATTACTCCATCAAAGTTAACTAAATCTGGAATTAAGCTTATTCTTTCTTAATGCTCATTTTGTCTTATTACATTTATTCTTTCCCAATATAATGCAGATATTTCTCTCTCATAATAATAAAAAAATAGTTTCGATAACCTTCCTTTAAATATTGATAATTCATATTTGTTAAGAATCTAAAAACTATGATATATAAATTTACTATTCCTGATCCTCCAACATAAAATTGTATGTTTTTTAAAAATTATTTGAAGGAAAAGTAATAATAATCATTATAATATGGTCCAAAAGAATCGTAGTACAATAAATTTTTGTAAAAACTTATTGTATTTAATATCCAAACTCCTTCATATTAACTAGGATTGAAATATAGGTCAACTGTTTTACCATCAACATACATGGTATGAGTTATGTAGTCAATGGTCGTAACTGGATTTGAAAACATAAATGCAAATACTTTTTGATCTTCTGCTGTTTTTATCAAAAATAATAGCAAATATTTTTATTTGTTTGGATCTGGCTATTATTCAATCCAAGGGTAAGATGTTGTTTTCCAATTTGCTACATAGAAACTCCAAAATTCCAGCTGAGTTGGATATGATATTTTAATCTCACTCATTTCCATAGGATAAGAGCTACTAATTAATACGTTTTCATTAAATTGAGAGCAGAAACATTAACAAAACAAAGTTACTAAACAAAGGAATCCTTTTGTTTCAAATAACATATCTTTTCCTCTTTAGTAAAAATAATATTTCAGGGTTAATATTTTAAACGAATAAATATTGGAAAAAATTTTATAAACTATTCTGATTAATTTTATTAAATACAAAAAAAAAAGTTTGTTCTTAAAAATTAAAAACACAAAATATTATATTAAATAACATATACAAATTTTTATTCTGTATTGTTTCAACTTTGATTGCAAATAACAAATTAAAATTAAATGATACACAATTCTCTCTATTAAAAAAGCAATTTATCAAATAAATTTTTTTAAAATAAATTAACTACAGTTCTTTTTCTGAATGCTTCTTGATTCAAAATATTAATGTATCAAAAAGCTTTATTTTCTTAAAATACACAAGTTGAGTTTTCTTATATATTTAGAATTTAAATGAATTCTTTTATTTGGTCTCAATATTTTAAATTTTATATCAGTTTTTTTAACAAAGTTTATTAATCTAATTAATGTAAATTTTTTCTTTCTCTTATTGATTATATATGATCGTTCAGTTTTATTCTATGCTAATCCCTAAGTTTTGGTTGATTAGACTAATTTTTAATCAAATAATATAAGAAATTAAACTAATGAATTTCGACTAACTATTCAAAATTATAATTAATTAATTAACAAACTTTTATTTAAATATTATTATTCATTTTATTTCGATATTCTAAATAAATTATATTCCTTTAGCAACTTATCCAAAATATAAATTCAAACATCAAATAATTTTATGAAGAATTTCAAAACCAAGATTCTTTAAAGATTATACTAAATCTATTAAAAAAACTGAAAAAAGTCAGTAAATTTCAGTATATTATTAATCAATAAAATCGGGGATTTTTCGAATTGGTTATTTTTTAAACTACATTTGGTTGTCACTTTAATTTTTTTAATTTTACGCACTTTTTAAAAATGAAAAATTTTAATATTAGATATGAATGAAAATAATACACCTCATGATTCTAAGATAGAAAAACAAACAAAAAAGTCTCAAATTTATTGCTACATATTTTTATTTACTTTAGGCGTATCATCGTTGTCAGGATGGAATGCTTTTTTATCTGGTTTATCTTATTTTGCAGATTAATATTATGGTATCAAGAATAATAATCAATTAATTAGGACGCAATGTATATTTCATAATGCCAATTCCTAATTTTGTAGGTTCTTGCTTAATTGGGTTGCTATTACCTAGAATAAGCTATTTATTTTCAATGTTTTTTAAGGTTGTTTGGTCACTAGCAATTTTGTGTATACTTTTGATACTTCTACCAATCATAGCATCTGAAATACATAGTGCTAAAGGTATCTATTTATTTAATAAATCAAAAGGATATTGGTTTTGTTTAATCACAATTTTCTTAATGTCATTATTTTAATCTCTCTAATCATATTGTTGTATAGGGATATCTTAGATACTCGGTCCATATTATGTTTATATATACTTTGTTGGTACAGGAGCATCTGGAATCATTCTCACTCTTTTTAGAATAATTTCTTTAGCTTCAATCTAGAGTGAAAATTGTAGTTTATTTTTATATTTATTAGCAATTTATTTATGTATAGGAATAGCAATACTTTGGAATATTGTTGCAATCATTATGTATTTTCAATTTACTAATACTTCTTAATATAGAAAAATTATTTTAACTCAACTAAAAGGTAGTAAATCTGTTTCCTTTGATTATCATAACAATATCAAGGTCGAATCGAAAAATCAAATACAAAACAATAAAATAAATTCTGATAGCATTAATTCAGAATTTACAGATTAAATTATTTTAACTTAAGATGTTGATCTAATACTTAATAATTAGCTAATATATTAAAACACCTAGTAACTCTCTTTAAAAAGGAGTAATGCTATTACTACTTTAGTTTAGATTAACAAAATTGCCTTTCCTATTCCTTTTTTAATTTTGATTCTTTACATTTAGACATTTATGATGTTTCCAGGAGTTGCACTCCAAAAACCTTTCTTTTCTGAATTTATTAATTGGGGTCAAACTTTAATTATTTTAGGATTTAATATTGGAGATACTTTAGGAAAATTCTTAGCGAATTATAGAAAACTTTTTAATCTCCCAATTTTAATAGGTTTATTCTTGTTAAGATTTGCATTTTTTTACACCTATATAAAAATTGCCAAAGGATCGCAAAATGACAAATTGATATCATATTTTAACACATTTTTATTTGGAATTTCGAACGGATTTTTAACTACAGGATATATGATTTTAGGGTCAGAAAAAGTAATCTTTTTGAATACCTATATTTTAGACCTCTGAGGATTTTGTTAAAGAAAAAATTGGATTTGTTTTGGGATTTTCTCTTTGCTTAGGCATAATGTTAGGAACATTCTTAGCTCTACCATTTTCAAATATATCTGATTGATAAAATTAAATCAAATTAAATAAATTTATCTTCAATTTTTTTATAAGCATATAATTGTCATTTTTTTAAAACAATTTTTAATTCTATTTATTTCACTTAATTAATTTAATCTATATAAACACAAAAATCTTTTATTTATTCAACAGTAGTTTTCATTATTTTTATTTCTTTAGATTCGTATTATTCTTTAATTATTTTAATTACTTTTGAAAAAATTACTGAGATTAAAATTGACATCTATTTTTTTATCTAATATAAATTTGGCCATAGTTTTATTATATCATCCCATAATTCAAACAACAATTCATTTATTCATATTAAGTAATTGAAAACAGAATGTATGAAATTTCTTAAAGTTCAGAACTAATAAGACCAAAAGGGTTTTATGAAATTCACTAAATCAAATAAAAATAATTCATTATAATTTATATATCATATATAACATTTAATTTTGTTATTAATAAATTTTTTCAACAAATATGAGATTCTTTAATCTAACAACAAGAAAACAGCTAATTAAACTTGAGACAAATATTAAGCTGAATTTACTTATATTATATAATTAAAAAAAAATTAAAAATAAAGTATATGTATGATCATTGATAATATGAATTAATATTATTCAATAATTTCTCTTACTTTTTCTTGATTCATAATCTTAGATTATTTAATCAGCAGTTTTTCTTCCTTTTGACTAAGTTAAACTCGAATTGGTTGAGTATACCTTTTCATTATTGGTTTATTAAGGATATGAAGATTCAATAATGTTAGTTCCAAAAACTTCGCTAAATTTTATATAAAATTTAATACTGTTTTTAACTTTTTGTTTCAGAGATGTTATCTTGCCTTATAGGTACAATCTCTGGCTCATAAGTAGTTTTTTATTTAAAATCTAAGACTGGTCTTTGTAAATTGCTTCTTCGAGTAAGAGTAGTTTAAGTAATCACTTCTTATTATTAATTATAATTAGTTGTATTTTTTCCAACAAGTAGATCAGCAATTTATTATTCAGTTTATAATCCTTAATTGTAGTAAGGATTAGTAATTGGTTGACTTTTTGTAAGGTTTGAATTATATTATAAAGTAGGTTTTGAGGTTTATGCATTATTCCAATAAAAAGTATTAGTTGCTGTTGTTTCAATTTTAACTTCTTATTATTTATTAGCCCAATAATAATCAGCTTTAGAACTAAGAATATGATGAATATAATAATATCTTACTCTAAATTTTGATTTTCGACTTCCTCATAATTATTGATTTCAAATTATTAAAATTCTGGTTCAGCATTAGCAATATTATGATCATCCATTTATTCTTCTATAGCTGGATGTACTATTCCCCAAACTTCTACAATAGCGATCTAAATTCATTAAATAATGGCAACCTTTAATTTTTTAATGTGTCTATGAACAAGGTCACCATTTTCATAACTTAAATCTTCAGATGAACATGTAGATTTGTTATAATCTTTGTCAATCCAAATTCTAAATTTATTTTCATCAAATCCAAAACCAATACCCTAAGGCATTGATATATCTTTGGTATTTAAATAANTAATTCATTATAATTTATATATCATATATAACATTTAATTTTGTTATTAATAAATTTTTTCAACAAATATGAGATTCTTTAATCTAACAACAAGAAAACAGCTAATTAAACTTGAGACAAATATTAAGCTGAATTTACTTATATTATATAATTAAAAAAAAATTAAAAATAAAGTATATGTATGATCATTGATAATATGAATTAATATTATTCAATAATTTCTCTTACTTTTTCTTGATTCATAATCTTAGATTATTTAATCAGCAGTTTTTCTTCCTTTTGACTAAGTTAAACTCGAATTGGTTGAGTATACCTTTTCATTATTGGTTTATTAAGGATATGAAGATTCAATAATGTTAGTTCCAAAAACTTCGCTAAATTTTATATAAAATTTAATACTGTTTTTAACTTTTTGTTTCAGAGATGTTATCTTGCCTTATAGGTACAATCTCTGGCTCATAAGTAGTTTTTTATTTAAAATCTAAGACTGGTCTTTGTAAATTGCTTCTTCGAGTAAGAGTAGTTTAAGTAATCACTTCTTATTATTAATTATAATTAGTTGTATTTTTTCCAACAAGTAGATCAGCAATTTATTATTCAGTTTATAATCCTTAATTGTAGTAAGGATTAGTAATTGGTTGACTTTTTGTAAGGTTTGAATTATATTATAAAGTAGGTTTTGAGGTTTATGCATTATTCCAATAAAAAGTATTAGTTGCTGTTGTTTCAATTTTAACTTCTTATTATTTATTAGCCCAATAATAATCAGCTTTAGAACTAAGAATATGATGAATATAATAATATCTTACTCTAAATTTTGATTTTCGACTTCCTCATAATTATTGATTTCAAATTATTAAAATTCTGGTTCAGCATTAGCAATATTATGATCATCCATTTATTCTTCTATAGCTGGATGTACTATTCCCCAAACTTCTACAATAGCGATCTAAATTCATTAAATAATGGCAACCTTTAATTTTTTAATGTGTCTATGAACAAGGTCACCATTTTCATAACTTAAATCTTCAGATGAACATGTAGATTTGTTATAATCTTTGTCAATCCAAATTCTAAATTTATTTTCATCAAATCCAAAACCAATACCCTAAGGCATTGATATATCTTTGGTATTTAAATAACAAAAATTCTTTTTTGCAGTTCTATCTCTCTTTGGTTAATACACAACAAATTATGGATATAAAGAAAAGATACAATCTTTATTATCTCCTTGAGGTAATGCTGTATCAAACCATCTTTGATTTGAGATTGCTCCAAATGTATATGTTTTTTGTATATTACTTTTATCATGAAGTGCTTCATATAATTCTTCATGTTGCAATAATATTACTGTTGGTAATCCAGATTGTATAATGTTATTTGCCATTTATCTAAATCCTCCATTATGAACTAGATTAGAATATAAAAGTTCTAGCTTTATTGCACCTTTTAGTTTAGTCTCATGAGCACTTAGTTAAAGTTAAAATATTAAATCTTCATTTAATAAATATGATGTGGTATTCATCTAAGGTATTTCTAATGATTTTTCTAATAAGAAGAACTTAATTTTAATGTATTATTTGATGACTCCTGATAAACCCCCGAGACGAAGTCTAAGTTGCTTTATTAACTCAAACCAATCTATGATTCCATTTTCTGATTTAAATAACGAATCTAATAATGCTCTACTAGCTTTTTCATCAATATTCTAAAAGTTATCACCTTACAATCTAATCTTTAGAATATCATTTATTATTGTAATGGCATCTAGATATGTAATTTTGAAAGAATGTAATTCTTCTTTATTTTTAACATATTGGCATGATTTTAAACTTATAAGTGAAAATAGTTCTACTTTATTTAAGTTTTTTAATTGATTTACAGATGAAGCATCTTTTAAGAGAACCTCCACTATTCGTTATTAAATAATAATTACAAATGTAAAATAGCACATCTCTATGTATATATTTTTCTTTTTAACCATAAACTTCTAGGAAGCGAAACAACTTTCTACCAAAATCAGGATTCTCAATAAAGATTTCTTCAAAGCTTTACTATGTGAGGTGTCTGTTTTTGCGAGTTCTATAGGATTATAATAATGATACTCTGTTTATAAATCACAATAATGATCAAAAACTTCATTAAGTTTTTTTAATTCTTGAGCATCAAATAGAGTATGTTAAGGTTTTCTCTCTTAAACACAATTTCCCATTAAAATATCTAAAGTTTAAATTAAATTATTTAAAATGTTTTGGGGTACTCAAGTCAGTCAAGGATAACCATATAAATTAACAGCTGATGAAGCTACAGTGATTCACGTTTCAAACGTAGTTCTAGCTGAAGGTGAAACCAAAGTTTAAGTCTATGCAAAAGTAAAAGGAAAGGAATTTGTACTTGCCAACCTTGAAAAAAATAAGGTATGGTAATTTTTATATAGTTAGTTGGAACAAGCCTTTTTGGATTTATACTTTAGAGTTGACTAATAGGTTGAGATTGGAGTTAAAGGAAAAGGATCAGTTCATCTTTCTGGATACATTGAACCAGATGAAGAAGAATTGGTAATTATTTAAAATAATCTAATTAGAACGACGACTTAGATTTAGAAGACGAAGAAAGTGAGGAAGTAGAGGAAAAAAAGCCAAAGAAACCTGAACCACCTAAATAAACAGAATAAGTAAAGTAATAACCAAAAGAGCAATAAAAACCATAAACTTAATAATAATAAAAACCATAACCATAACAAAAAGAACAATAAAAACCACAAGCTCAATAATAATAAAAGCCATAACCTGAATAATAACAAAAAGCAAAACCTTAAGCTGCCCCTCAGAAACCATAATAATAATAACCAAAAAAGGTAGATTAAGATTTGAACGATGATGACGATGAAGATGTTGAAGATGTTGAAGAAGAGGAACTTATTGACGAAAGTGATGTTGATGATGAAGACTTAGAAGGAGAAGGTGATTTAGAAGATGAAGAAGATGATGATGAAGAAAATTTAGAGGATGATGATGAAGATGAAGAACCTTAATGTATTTTATTCATATATTAAACTTTAGAAAAATAAAAATTCGCTAAAGGTAATTAAGGATAACAAGTTAAACCACAATAAAAATAATAATAGAAACCTTAATATTAATAATAATAAAACAAATAATAACAACAAGGAAATTAATAATTTAGACAAGGATAGAAACCATTCTAATAATAATAAAGACATGGATAATAACATCAAAACAGAGGAGGTGACAGAGGAGGTAACAGAGGAGGTAACTAAAATTATTAGAAGAATTTCAAGAAAAATAATAATAATTTCCATAATAATAATAACAAAAAGAACTTTAACAGAAAGAATAACAATAGAGGTGGATTCAGAGGAGGTAGATAATGAGTATCTAATATATGTGTACATTAAAATTTAAACAACAATCCTAAATTAAATCTCAAATATTAAAAACCTAAGGCTGATTATAACAGAACCAACATATCTTTTTTCTATCAATTCTTTGTTCAAACTAATCAGATATTCTATAAACAAATAACAGACTATAATAATTTCTTATTAAAATTAATAATAACTCTTGAAAAATACAATATTCCATAATTAAATAATAAATGATCTCTATATAGATTTTTTAGATAGTTTAATATATAAATTACTTACATTCAAATTAAAAAAAGAAAAATATGATCAATTTAATATATATATTATATAAGATTAATTATATAAAATTTGTTTCTTAAAATAAAAAATGGAATAGCCGCGTTTCGCTCTAGGTGTCGTATGATTGCAAATCACCGCACTCTACTAATTGAGTTCCTATCCCAATATAAATAATAATAATAAATGATCAATATGCATGAAAGAAAATCTCTGACTGACAGATAGAAACTTTAAAGTGATCCTATTTCTTTTTATATTTGGCATATAATCTCAGAATAATTATAGATATTTGTCTCATACATTTTTCGTGCTGCAAAGTTAATTTAGATCAGCAAAGAGCATAACACTCTATTAAATAAACTTCCTATTCAACTTAAAAAAATGATTAATTGGGAAGATGATTCTAAGGAGGATATATAAGAAAAAATATATATTAAAATAGAAGAACTATTATAAATAGAGCGCAGTTAATTTTCTAATAAAATTGAAGGAATTAGGGAAATTGTACAAAAAGAATATGAAAAAGTAAATTATTCATTTATTATAGTACAAAATGATAAATAATTCTAATTAGGAATCTCTCTAGGCTTAAAATATAAGTAGATTCTCTGCATTTTCAAAAGGTAAAAAGGAAGATAGATCAAATTAAATAATAAATATAAGTGAGAATACATTTCTTTAGGATATTAGTTATATTTAAAATTAGGAAAGAAAATTAAAGTTTAAAGAGCAAATTGTGAATCCTACTAAGACTTATTATAAATAATTATCAAGAGTACAAACTAATATATTAAATAAAATAAATAAAATAGCTTCTTTTTAAGATGTTCGATTCTAAAAATTGGAAAAAATTAGATAGGTATAAATACAAATTTATATATAGATTGAAAGTACGATAGAAGAAAAGTTAGAATCAGTTTATTCAAAATTGTTAGAATCATCTCAAAAACTCCTACAATTAGATTAGACTCAATCCTAGAGGCATATATAAATTAGGAAATGTATACGTCCAACATAAATTAATAATACAAATACTTAGCGTCTTAATTTACAATAATTAATTTAAACTAAAATTTTTGGAAATTCCTCATAGTTAAAATAAAATAGATTATAAATAAGTTAAAATCCAATTTAATTAAAATCATAAATTCATTTGAAACTTGAATAATAAATAAAATCTAATTAATTATGTCAAGAAAAAGTAGAAAAAGCTAAAATTATTTAAAATTATTTTAGAAAATATTTATAAAATAAATAAAAAATAAAGGTAATTGATAAAAAATAGCCTCCAAAGACTATAATTCATCATTTTAAATTAGATATAAATAGAATTGGTAGTTAATCAAATCATACTTCAAATAGTACATAAAGATAAAAGAAAGGTGTTGTAATGATAACTCAATAAAACATAATTTCATTTTTATAAAGATAAAAATCTTTAAGTAAAAAAGGATATTAAGAGAAATTGTAGCATGCAAAATAAAAAAAAATACAATAAGCAATTGAATAAAATGATATAAATATCATTATAAATTCAGGATTTAATTTTGGATAGGAAGATTATAATTCAAAAGATGAGTTGTAAAATACACCTTTGTTTTATTGTGCAAAGAAAGTAAATCAAGTTTGATTTAGAACCTCTATGAATTTTGTCGATTTCTTTTGTAAAATGGTGCGAACCCAAATATAAAGTGTTCCTAAGGATAAACTGCCACCCATTAAGCGTGCTAACATAAAAACTCTGTTCTTTTGAATTTATTTACTGAATATGGTAATTAAAATTTAATATTAAAGGTGCTGATTTCAATATGCCAGATAACAAAGGTGTAATTGCTTAAGCTTTACTTGAAAAGGAACAGAGTCCTATTCTCTAAAATCAAAAAAATTTATAATTAAATATCAAAAATGTTACCTCTCCATAATTTGATGAGTTTCTAGTAATGTGAAATGAAAATTATAATTAATATTAATTAAATAAATGGATATTTTTAAGGATTTATTTGCTACATAGGGATTCTAACTATGTGTAAAGGCTGTTTAAGATGTTCAATCAAATGGTGATCAAGAAGCTTTATTCAAGTAATGTTAATAAAATTATGCAAATGCATACAAAGTGGTTGGATAGGAATTTCTAAGATTCTTTAATAATTAGCCATCCAAAGATAGATATGGTCCACCAGAAGAGATCTGATTATTATAACATCATTACAAAACATTATTTTATATAAAATATAAAAATGAAGAAGCTGTTCTAAAAAAATTTTAAGTATAATGCATGGAGATATAAGAATATTTTTGAATCGTTAGAAAAATAAGAAAACTATTAACAATTTATCATCTAAAATTAGTAATTATTCTTTAATAATGTACTTGGAACTATGAAACATCTTTTAGCAGCAGATTATATTTGGTATGGAAGGATAATGAACTTATAAAGCATAGAAGTTCCCTTTTTGATTGAGGAGAACAAATTAAAAATAGATGTAAAATGTTTTCAGTATTTTTTAAATAGTTAAAAGAACTAATTTTATTATGGCAAAGTGATGATGATAAAATATTTGATAAGCTGCCATTTGATTATCAGTAAACTAAATCCTTACTCTTGGATATAAATTAAGTATTCTAATAACTTATAGATAAATGTGATGATGCTTTCTTTGATAAACATTTTGAATATTCTGATAGCAATGGAGTCTAATAGAAAAAGGACGCATAAACTGTATTTTACCATCTTATTAACCATCATACGCATCACTTAGGATAAATATCCGCTGCATATACATAGTAATATGGAAGAAAAGATTTCTTTTCGACTGATTTTATATATTTTAAATGAATTCACAATGAAGAATCATTAATTTAATTAAAAAATTCACTTAATGCAAAGCAACATATAAAAGGAAACAAATAGTCTGGTTTCATAATGCTTGATTTAAATTTTATAAAAAAAGCCTGAATTATTTAAATCATTAATGTTAAGACAATAGCCAAGGGAAAGCTTGTAACAAATATTTAAAGAATATGATGAATTGTAGTAAATTATGAAATTAAATTCCAAACTCAGGGAAGATTTTGCTGTTTTGGAAAAATTACTAAACATGGCAATTGAAAATTGATTGAATTAAAAATCATTAGAATTAATGTTATCCACTTACATACTCTATAATAGAATCTTCATCTTCATACTCATCTTAATAACTATATTTCCAATAGTTATATTATTCATCTTTATTTTCTTTGCTAACTTTTTGTCTTCGATCTAATTTCTCTTTAATAGATCCTTCATAAAAATATCTAGGTTTTCTTATTTCTTTTTCTTCCTTTTAATTTAATGTGCATTTAATAGGTGGTATTGATTAGGAATAATACAATTCATTTTTTATTTTTGAGATGATAATTTTTGAAGCTTAGACTTTTTTAGAAATCTACTAAGGTTCTAATGATTAATTGTTGACAATTCTCTTTAAATTTTCTTCTTAATAAAAGTATCTATTTGAGAGCAATTTTTATTATTTCTTTTTTAACACCACACCTTTAATCTTATTCTTTATTATTTTATCTTGTATTTACCTAGATTTTTCAGAATTTGCTTTGATTCCTCTTACTTCTGTAAAATATTCATTATAATAGATATTATTTGGAGATTAAGATTTTGTTTTATTTAAATTTGGTAAATGAAATCTATCGCTATTTTAGTAAATTCTTGAGATAGCAATTGTTGGCTTATTTTAAAAACTTATATTACAATCTTTCATTTAATTAAATAAAATATAGCTTTGGGTTGAATATTATAAATACTTTCTCATCATCAAATGACTTTGGCATGTTCAATAAGAAATCAATAACTGACGTGAAAAATTATTCAGTAATTGTATATTTAAAGCTTTTTTCTTATTTTTATTACTAATCTTTTAGGTAATTTATAATGTGATAAGTAATTGATTTCATTTATAAATTTCTTTTAAAAAATATTAGTTTTCTTATAAAACAAATCTTTAAACTTTAAATCAAATGATTCATGTTTAGTTCTTGATGTATTTTAGTATTAATTGCCTTATAATTTTATTTATTTCAAATTAACAAAATTTATAATAAAATTTGACATAAAATATTTTTCAATATTTTTCTATCTAATTTTTGAGATTTAGATTTAAACTATTGGGATTCCATTTAAAACTAATGTTTTGTTTTAATTTTTTTTAATAAATTTATATTTTTATAAATCTTTTTATGACCAATTTTGTTTAACCTATTGTTAATATTCGATTATAAAATTTCCTTATTCTGTTTACGATTAATTGTCAGATTGATTTTTATTATTATTTTTTTAATTTTTCTAAATTATTAAACATCATGAAATGCGCAAAGAAAAAATACAAATATTTAATTGAAGATGATCGAATAGATATGGAGAAAATACTTTAAAATATTAGATATACTTTGGGTATTTATAATCATAAATATAGATATTACATAGTATGAATAAAATGAATTGTAAAAAATGTTTTGTGTAATAAAAGACAAAATGCATTGTCTTGAAACTTAAATTTATACAATTTAAAAGGAAGAAAGAGCATTATAAAGTGAGAACGATGAGCTCCAATATTTTATTAATGAAAAAAAATAAATGTTAAAAGAACTAAATTCTTTAATTGAAATCGTTGAAGTTTCAAATGAAAATTTTTAACTTGATGGTGATTCTTCTATTAATTTGTATCACATTTTGTAAACTTACACTCCTAGAAAATAAAAAGTAGGAATGGATATACTTTTAAATATATAGAAAGAAGAATAGTAAATATAAGAATTGAAAGGTTTATTATAAACAGTCTAAAATAAAATTATAAATTTAAATTAGAATGAATTGTTTTGGTCATGTATTCGTTGTAGGAAAAGATTGTAGGAAGGACAAAATGAATAAGTAAACACATTCTAAATTTTAGTCTTGCATTTATCATTCTGGCCAACTAAAATATTTTTCTTGTAGGACTTGTGGAGCAGATGAATATTTTACTTGTTGTCATCAATGCCGAGATTGTAATTCCGGCTGCAAAATGGGTCTGCATAAACCATGATTTACGGATTTTTAATCAGTAATTTATTGATTATCTTAAAGGCTTTTATTATCAAAATATCATTATCCTTTAAAGATTTTTCATATAGTCTCCTGATATAAAAATTTAGTCTCTTGATTTGTTTAATATCATGTTAACTAACTTTCTATTTGTTATTTCTAATTTTCAGAATGTTATTTATTGCTAAATATCAAGTTACAAATATTATGAATAAATTTTTAAGAATGCTCATTTTAAAAAATCTTGAATTTTATAATTATATTAATTTAAAATTAAATGATTTAAATCTGTTAATTTGGTTTTTATTAAGTTCAAATCCTTCCAAGTAAGAAAAATAGAAAAATCGATGTACTATCATAAATTATTTTTCCTTTATTATTATAGAAAATAAAATAAAAATTATTCTATGCTCTTACTTAGATGTTAGTTACATTTTCTCTGAAATTTAGAGTAACTATATATTTTTCAAATTATTTATTAATTATCATACCAGTTAGTATTTGCTGATGCTTCTTTAATTACTTAAATTTATTAAGATTAAATATAACAAGTAAAATAGGTTTTATAATAATTATTAGATAATATGGAAAATTCTAATACAGTTTAATTAAATTAACATAAACTGATAGTCATTAATATATTCTCAATATTACTCTATATTTACATAATTATTTTCAATTTATAATATAATTTTTAAAGGAAAAATACTTAATACTTTAAGTTAAACTAAATTATGTAATGACCCTAAAGGATAAGGTTTAAATTGAGGGATATCATTACAATAATAATAAAAACTGTTAAGCATAGCTTTTTCTTTTGTTTTTAAATAATAAAATAGCTAAAAATTAAATCAAATAAAGTAAATAAATTTATTCCCAATAAAATGTAAAGTTGCATCATTATCAAATAATTGGAAAGTTATCCAACATAATAATACAACATCATTTTAATTAATCATTTTTATTATCTAAGCTCTTTATTTTTATAATTTATGAAATTTAATTAAAATAAAAATTTTTATAAAAATTTTATCTTAAAAAAATACAATTATCATTTGCAAAAATATCCAAAGTACTTATCTTTTGAAGATCTAGTGAATCCTCCTCCTATTCTTAACTATATTTTAAATTATTGATCAGGAATATTAATATAACTAACTTCTTAATCCAGTGACCATCGACTGTAATTTAAGTCTGATAATATTGATTTGACAGATTCTGATCTTTCAGTTTACAATACAGGTAATTTATTTTTACCATTTTTCCTTTAATTAAAAACTTGTATTTTTTGAATAGCCTATCTATATTTTGAAAAATATTATGATTCATCCATCTATTTCTTAGGAGCTTTGACTTAAACTTTTTAGTATATCTTACTGAATTCTTTTATAACTTCAATTCTATTTTGCTTTGCAATTTTTCCTTCTATCTGATGGAATTCGTCTGAAAGTTAAAAATTATGTGGATTTATATTTTTCTAACTTTCATAATAAATTTAATTAGCTTTGATCTTCTAATTTAATGTTAAAATTCCATAATTAGAATTCATTTCTTCTGGTGTTGTATTAAGTAAAATTTTCTTGCATCTAATTACTGATCCTCCTTTAACTGGAAACGATAAAGGCTTGAATATAGTTTGTTAGTTTTTATTATTAAAATTTTATTGATTTGTTTTCATTTCATTATAAGAAGATTACATCATATATTCTTTATTAAAATCAACAATATTGGCTAGTTCATTTTATGCTTCCTTTAAATAATTATGCATACGAAGCCGATCTTCTAAATTTTATTTATGTTCTTCTCCGAAACTGTTTTTCTTTGACATTTTTGGAGAATTTCTCAATCCTTTAATATCGTTTGGTTTTTTACTTTTGTTGTTTGATTTTTCTAATGATTATAAAATAATTGATTGTTATTACATAATTATTTTGATAATTAAAATTAATAAATTACCCAAAATAATAAAATATTACCAATAAAGAAATAAATTATAGAAATAAAGAAAAAAATCTTTAAAGTAAATAAAAATCTATTAATTTAAGATTCTATAAAAGGCAACGTTCAAGTAAAATGAATTTTGTCACAATTTGATGTTTTAGGTTCATTTTGATGAGTAAGAATTTGTACATCTTGATTATCAACAGGAGTTGAGATTGACAAAGATGTGCATAACTTAGATTATTCATCTAGATTTGAAATTTAATCACATGATTAAATGATTGGTAAACTTATTTAAGATATAAATTTCTATTATTTATATATATTATATATACTTAATAAATTTTTTGGCAGAGATTTTCTGGTACATCTCCTTCATCAATACTTTCTGATTATTATGATGAAATTTAATCTAGGAATTAACTAGATTCTTTTAATTCTTGTAAATATTAATCAATATATTAATTTAACTTTGAAGATAATTCTTCAATCTAATTTGATTCATTCTTAGAGAACACCAAGTTTTATTGCATCTCTTCTATATTAATGGTTGTAGAACCTTAGTCTTTTATTACCTCTGTTTCTGAGGACGGTTAAGTTTTTGTTTCATGTATTATTTAAGGCTAAATATAAATATTATACAGACTACTTAATTCTAATTCTCCTAATTAATATCTTTTAGTTTTGAATGAATGAAATTAAGTCTTATGTTCATATCTAAATTTGTATTTGTTTCGGTTAATTATGACATTATTAAATATATTTTAAATATTAAACAAATATTTCAAGCTCATAAGTATATATCTTTAAGTTTGAAGTCTCTGAATGATTTAGATAAATTATTAATTTATAAATCAACTTTGTTTAAGAAAATAAATAGATCAACAAAAATAGATAAAATATTCATAAATCTTAATTATATAAAAAATGTAAATTTGTGTTTTTGATTAATACACTTTAAAGGTAATCAGAAAAATATTGAATTTAAATAGAGTCAAAAATTCAAATATTAGAAAATAATCATTAACAAAATTGTATATATATGAATAATATAGAAAAATTCAATTTTGTATATTCTGAATATATATTATTTGTTTAATTATTTCATTGTTTAATTGGAATGATGTAATTAGTTTAATTAAAATATGAAAAAAACAATCATTCTCATTTCTGTTTTCCTTATAATTTAGGCTATAGAAATTGCATAATTGGATAAGGATGAAGTGGATGTTACTAAACTTAATGCCCTTTTTGGTACAAATTACCAAGGAAAGATGTAAAATTATTAATTAGAAATTAGCTATTCTGGTTATTTAAGTGCAAAAGATGATGGCAAAGTATAATTTCATTACCTTTTTTACCCATCAATAGATTCTGCTATTGAGAAACCTTTGATATTATGGTTACTTGGAGGACCAGGATGTTCATCAATGATTGCAGCTTTTACAGAGAGTGGTCCTTTTACCTTCATAGAAGAATCTATAGAATTTGAAGAGAATCCTCATACATGGACAACATTTGTATGTTTGTTATATATAAATTTAGGCCAATATGCTTTACATAGAATCTCCAATATCTGTTGGATATTCTTATGGTCCTGATGGAACATAATCTGATGAATCAACTGCTGAATACAATTTGAATGCTTTGATTGATTTTTTTGTGAAATTTCCAAATTTCAAAAACTAAAAATTCTATATAGGAGGAGAATCGTATGCTGGTATTTATGTTCCAACTTTGATTCAGGAAATAATAAACTATAATGAATAACCTATTAATCCTGAAGTTTTAAGGATTAACATTTAAGGTATGATAATAGGAAATGGTTGCACTGATCCAAGTGAGTGTACTTAATTAGGATATCTTTTTCCAAGACATAGATTAGATTTTTATGGTCGACATGGTTTCATTAGTGAAGAAACATATAAGAAAATAATAGATAACACAGAAAAATGCAGTTTTTCTGATAAGTAAGAATGCCAAGCTTTAGCATATGAAGCTTTGGTTTAAATAGCTGGACCTAAATATGATTTCTTAATAAATCAATATAATGTTTATGGCAAATGTATAACTAATACTTCTGAAGGAAGCAAAAGAATGTAAAGTCCACTTAGAGTATCAGATGAAGAGAGAAATGATTCTGATGTTCCTCCATGTGTAGATGTTAAAGGATTATATCATTGGTTTTAGATGAAAGAGGTTCGAGAAGTAAGAATTAGATATTTTATATTAGTTATTGAATATAAGAGATGAATCACCTAAATGGGTTGCTTGTTCATTGAATTTTAAAAATTATTAAATTAATCCAAATGGATCTCTTTATATATATCCTACTATTTTAAAAAATAATATCAGAGTTCTTATTTTAAGTGGAGATGTAGATGGAGTTGTACCTATAGCTGGTACTCTTTATTGGATTGATAAACTTTAATAATAATTATGTAATGCAAACATCTCCTATTATAGAGTTGAATACAATTAAAAAATGGAGACCTTGGTATATACCTGGTATTGTTACAAGATAAGTTGATAAAGATTAAAATGCTGGAAATGTTTTTGATATTGAAGGATTGACTTTTGTCAGTTTTAGAAATGCTGGTCATGAAGTACCTGCAGAGAAAAGAATGGAATCTAAAATTGTTTTAGAGAAATTCTTAAGATAAGAATATTTGTGAAATTTAAATTGATTTTTGTATTCTTATTAAAGAGTCTATTTATAAAGTTAATTTATATTAATAAATTATGATTTGTAGAAGCAAGCATTTTCTATTTAGCACAGAATATAAATTATATCTCACCTAAAAATAAATTATTATAGGAAAGGTAATTATCTAATATATTTTTAAAGAGTGAAGATAATTTCAAATATAAAATCTCTATAAACCTTTCAACAATTATCAAATGGACTTTTAATAGTGACTTTACATTAAATGGATTTGAGTTTTAATGGAAGAACTCCTGGAAAACTATAATATTAACTCACGATCAATCACTTAATCTCAAGGATAATCTGGATGGAAAAGTAACTTATAAAGACTTAGTCAAAATGTACAATATCATACAATTTGAAAAATCTGGCTATTCTAGTAAAGTAATTATTTATATTAATAATAGGTTTATTTGGCTTATTGTTGTGCAAATCAAAAAAAGTATTATATGTAAATATTTCCAATCTCAGATTTAACTTCATAAGTATGACTATTTAATTAAGTAGGAATATTTAAGATTAGTATAAATTATTAACTTAAATCATCAAAACATTCTTAGATATGAAGAATATTTTGTTGAAGACAAGAATTTATATGTTTTAACAAATATTTAAAATGGAAAAACATTAAAGGAAAGAATAGAAGGTCCATATAAGATGGAACCTTATGAAATTATTGCTACTATGAAACCTCTCCTTTTTTTTATAAATGACATGAATAAATTAGGATATTTAATTAGAGATATCACCTCAACAAATATTTTTCTAAAGAATGATGGAAAAATTCTCATTACAGATTTTGAAATCTTTGTAAAATTTGAAGATGCATTTAGAACTAAAGCAGTTTCAAAAGAAAAAGACTTTATACATGAATTTAAAGATTTAAACAAAAGTAATCATGAAGATTGGATAGAAATGGAAAGATTTTATTGTTAATAACATGATGTTTTGATTTTAGGATAGATATTAAAGGAAATGTATTAAGAATTTCCATTTTAGGTTAACTAATAAAACTTTATAAACAAATGCCTCAGAAAGAGCAAGGTAGATTTCAATCAATAAGACTATTCATGTTTAAAGATCACCAAAACATTATTTATATTAACTTTTATAAAGAATGTTAGAACCTGATCCAAAGATTAGGATTACAACTTAAAATGCCATTTATTTATTAGAAGATATTGATTTTGGAGATGAGAGTTATGAAGATCTTCCTAATGATACCTAAGAAAATTAAAATTTCAAACCTGTGAAATCTATCTCAACATAGATATTAATCGTTTGACTACATTAATATTATGATTTCTCAATTGATATTAAATTAAGTATTTTTCAATATAGTTATTTCATTTCAGTCCTCTCTCGCTAACTCCTCTTGATAAAGAAATATCTCCTGGAATATTTAAAACCGGAGCCTTCATCGGAGATATTGTATCATTTAATTAAGGATTTTAAGGTTGCAATAATTCACTTTTCACAATAGGTTATATCTGAGGTATGTATGAATTATTTCCCAATATTTCACTTTATTTTTATTATCGGAATTTGTTAGGTAAATCCATACAATTATTTACTTAAGTATGATCTATATGACTAGGCTTTTGATTATGAGATGTGCCTTTTTTGGCTTTATCAATTTATTTAATCATATACATTTATGAGTACTTTTCATCTATTTACTATAAATATGTTGCCGTTGGTACTATGTTTTTCGCTATTTTTTATTTAATTGTCCATACCTCCACCATTTTATGAACTATTTTATAGTTTTTATGTTGAAAATGATGAGCTATGTAGATCTTGTGATTTAGAATTGTCAGCTAGAAGAATGTTAAATTTTATGTCATTATTAGAATGCTTATTTGCCATTTATTTATATTATTAATATTGTACTAAACCATCATTTTCATGATCTATATAAATTTGGTCTTTTTGCTTTGAATACAGTTCTGAACTTTTTATGGCTTGCTCTTGGAACAGTCTTTACAATTGGGAATTTAATAGAATCTCCCTTAAAAAATAATTAATTCTTATACTCTATATTAATTTGTTTTTCCTCTCTTTATATCAGCACTCTTAGTTAAAACTGATGTTCTAAGAATATGAATAGTTTGTGGTTATGCTCTATGATTTCCTGCCATTTCTTAATCTAAACAATATTTTTATGCCATCTTTACATAATTATGATACTGCACCATTTAATGTTGTGTCTCTAAATTCTTTATACATATTATGAATAGTTGTTCTTGATTAATATTTTAAAACTATGCCATATGTCTTTGCATTTGTATCTCTTCTTTCGAACAATTCTTAAACTGCTAAAATCTAACCATGAGATGGTCTTAATTTATTTAATCTTCTCAAATTCCACCTATATTGTAACTCTATATTTTATACCAAAATCGGCTTTTTGCTGCCACTGTATTTCTAGCGAAAATTCTCATACTAATTACTTTTGGATTTGGATCATCCTTTGATGGAAGCCTTCTTCCTGATACTAAGTATTATCTAATCTAATTCAAATTTATTTCTTCTTTACTTTCATTTACAAAGAATTGTCTTATGGATCTTATGCTGAATTTTTAACCATTTCTTATATTTTAAAAAAAAGATTTAATTTATCATACAATTTATCTAAACATACAATAAAACAATAGAACACTTTCAATATTAATTATTATCATTATACTATCATGTATCAACTACATTATTAACTTCATTCTAAAATAATTTAATTACATATAAACACCATATGCATTAAGAAAAATAATTATAATTTAAAAAAGTGATGGAAATTAAATTATTCATATATTAAAAATATCATTTTCATCAAACAATCCTCTTCTGCTGTCTTCTTTAAAGCTCTCTTACTATATCTCTTATAACTTTGAAATTCAGACTTGTCTTATCTAAATCAACCATTAAACATAGTATCAATCCTTAAAGTTAATAACTCTAAATTTCTTCCCACAAAAAGATTGGAATATTAAGTGAAGGATCCATAGGCTTATTGATAACAAATCTTTTATTTTTGTAGAATAACATGTTATTTTAAATGTATTAATTCATTTAAAATGCTGACCCATTTTCCTTTAAAATCACCATAAGTTATTTAAATTGTTAAAATATTTCATTTCTCTTTTGAACAGATAGATCATCAAAATAATTATGATAAATTTCAAGATAGAACTAAAATTCAAGATATTAGCTTAAATCATCATTTTTAATAAGTTATTTAACCATATTTTTTCTACATTTTTCAGCCTCTTCTTTACATTTATCTGCAGCTTATTAAGTGTTATTTTTCAAAAAATAATCAGCTTAACTCCATATGTCTTAATTTTAGGGTTTTTTCTCATTTAGTATCAAAAATGAATTATATTTTTCAAATTCTTTAAGAATATTTTCTCTTATAACTAACAATTATTGATGTAAATCTAACTAATTTTTTTTTCCACAAAAATAACTTGGTGAAGAAGAGTTTATAAATTCTTGTTTAATATCTCCAGCTTTTAGAAAAAGTGTTAATTTTTCATCAAAATTAAAATCACAATACAAGGTAATAACATTTCCATCATCATTTATGAGCTTTTATAAATAATAATCTAATTTTTCCAAAATAAAAAATTTTTTTTTTTCCAATTGTTTCTTATACTTGATGCCAATCGAATTTTCATCTATACTATTTTTAATTGATTATTTGCAACTGTCAAATTAAATCTCTGCTCTCTGCATCATTGTTTAGTACAACATTCTAAAAAAATTTAATAGAAATAATAATTTAAATATTAGAATAATAGAAAGGATTATTTCTTCAAATAAAGAATATTGTAATATAATACACATATATTATTTTAGAATAAATTCATTCTAGTTCAATATCATCTAAACATATTTTGAAGAGATCAGACATTTAAAGGGTGGAAATAGGTTCTTTATTTTCATTCAGACACACTAGACTACCTCTTGAGGAAAGAAGCAAATTTTCTACAACCTATGATATATGAAGAAGTTACTTCTTTTAAAGTTTGTTTCATATGAAATAATTCTTTATTACATATTGAAAAGCCAGAATACTTAGATTTCTCAATTCTAATAAAATTCAATAAATCAATGGCTTATCTGTGAAGCTAATCTTAATGTTGAGTCATACCATGTCGTAGACTTGATATTTAAGGATGAATAAGAAATCTCTTCTATCAATCAATCCTAAATACTAATTATTAATGTCCACAATAGGGATAGCATTTCTTTTGAAAACGTAAATCAATTTATAAAAGACACTAGAATGATATGTTTAGTAATTTACTCATAGACAATGGTATCAAAGGATAGTTTGTCATTTAAAAGAAGTATACTATCAGAAAAGTAGCTTATTTCTAATTCATGTTATTCTGATTGTTAATTATTCTCTCGTTGAACTTCAAGTCTATGTGGCTTTGATGATAATTATAAGTGGAAATATTAACTAAATCCTTTAACAAGAAATGCTAAAATATCTTTTTGTTATAGGATGCCTACAATAACTCTAGATTCAGATTCAATAACTACAATTCTGGTTACTCCCTATTTAAGTATTTTTTTCATGGCATCATTTAGATTATCAGTCATCTCTGCTTTTATAAGACTGCTTTAATGAAGATTTTCACCATATGAATTAAACCAATCTCTGACAGAGATAGTCTTTAAATCAATAAGCAACTTATTAACTTAATCTTAGCCTATAACTTAAGTAGTATGGACAGGAGTTGAAGTTCTGTCTTCATCCTCTTCTTCCATGATTGGTTGAACTTAACTTTTATTATTTCCCCAAACTGCCTAAGATTTGCATTAAAGATTACCATTCGGAACTCCATTAAGGATGTTCTGATAGCATTTCAGAATGATTCTGATCAAATCAGTTTGTGTGAAAACTCCATCATAATAAGCTACATCTGGATTCCAAAACAATACTTCATCAATATGCGACTCAATAAAGACATTAAAAACATCAAATAAAGAGAATGACTAATCTATGACCGTGACTTAATTATTAATAGATAAGCAATCATAAAGGGTGCTATCTTATAAGAAACATGTTAAAGTCTTCATGTATTAATCTTTTATTATATCCTCTTTACTCTACATCCTTTTCATCTTAGAATTATTTAAAAATTGATAATAATAATATTTATTCAAAAATCATCTTCTTCCATAATGATCATCCAAATTATATCCAAATTGATCTTATTGTTCATAAAACTTGTGAATTTTTTGATTCGAATTAGTAAGAAGTTTTTGTTTTTCATTCCATTCTTCAATAGCTTTGTGTCTAGTCACAGGATTTTCTCTATCATAATCAGTATCAAATCCCAAACAACCCTCATCATAAGGTTTTATCTATTAATTATATTAATTATTTAATATACCTCTTCATTATTCACTACAGGAAACAAATACTCAGAAATATCTTCCATTGGTAAAGAAGCATAAACTATTGCAATAACCATCAACAACACATCTATCTAACTTATCTCCTTGAAAAATGCATAAGTCATGATCATTTCTCCAAAGGCACTCCATACTATTATATATTCCAGCATCTCTATCATCTCTATAAAATATTAAATTAATACTTTTTACCTGTAGATAGTTGAATACTAATCGATTCCTTCACTGTTCTCCTTCTTAATATATTATAATAGTCAACATAATAGTAAATCAGAATCCCAAAAGCACTGCAAACAGTTCCTAAAGGAAGTGCTGTACCATATAAAAAAGTAAACCACATTGTTTTCATTATATCTGAGTATCTCTTTGCTGACAAGTAGTCAGGTTCTTCCATTAAAATATTTGCTTCTTACTATGTTAATAATGCTTTGTCTCCCTTTCTTATTATGTACCATCTCCAGATGTTTTTACATAAACTCCATGGATCCACACACCAAATAAATGGAGGTAATACAGCATTCAAAATAAAGATCTAACTCTCATTCTATAAAAACCCTCCTGCTCCTTCTACATTTTTTAAGATTACTATATCCACTAAAAAACTTATGATAGCTGCATTCAAAAATAATGCTAATGCATATTTATATACAAATGATATTTAAAACTTTGTCTTGCTTGAAATCTTTTCATCATCTACTATATAATGAACTATTTTTGCAACTGCAAATTTGTTAAAAAGTACTATGCTCAATGATATCACAAAAGATAAAATGTTTATTTTTAACATTGTTTCATGATCCAATTTTCCTTTTATTTCCTCTTCTCTTGCCTCATCTCCATATTTTGCTACTTTATGTGCTATCAGATATATTGAATAAAAGGCTGCACTTTCTACTAACAAATAAATTATCCATGCTTTTATTCTTTTACTTATCTTTTCTTCGGTCTTAACATGGATGAATTCCCAATCTACTTCATTTGGTTCTGGAGCTTATTCAATAAATAATTTCTAATCGTGCCAAGATAGATCATTTTCTGATAATCCTTCTAATTTACCCTTATTCCAATATGACTTCATTCTCTCTAATTATGTATGTTAATTCTCTTGTAAAACCAAATTTTTCATATTCTCATTTTCAAATGATATGAATGCTATTCCTGCAAACTTTTTATTCTCTCTTTCATATTCCTTCTCTGTCTGATGTATTTAATGTTCTAACTCTTTTATTTTCTAATCCATCTACAACACTTTTGCATGATTCAAATTATAATCATTTTCTTTTATTATTTCCTTCTTTCTATCCACTAACTCATCAAGCTCCTTTTCCATTTTAATTATTTCTTCGATGTCATATACTAAAACTACCTTTTTCACCACTATTGGTGCTGTATCTGAAATAACTGCACAAGTTTCAAACATATGTTACAATTCCCATTTATAATTTAATCCTAATCCTAAAGGAATATTTTTGACACAGACTGTATAATCAGCAGGTGTTAAGAGTTCTTCATCAATAGTAGTATCGATTTATCGTTAGCTTTTTCTGAAATAGATGAGAACAATCATAACAATAAATAGGTTTATAAAGTTTAAAATTTGTACATACTCTAAAGCTTCACGATTACTAATTTAAAAATAAAATTTACTCTAATTTATTTGCTAATGATAATTTTAAGAACACTGAGTCTTAGCAATTAGGAAGTTGAACAAAGTGACCTTCAATTTTTTCTCTTTTAAAATGACTACAATATGAACCTTGATAACTGGTATAGAGATTATAAACTTATTTGGTGACCAAAGTTATGAATAAGATGATAATGCAATATTTGAGATAGTTATAAAATAGAGTGAATCCAGAACCAAGAAAAGAGAGTGCCATAGGATTAGAACAATAGGGGATTTCATCTCTTTCTACTTCAAAGCCACAACATGGACAGGTTTCAACTGATAGATAATATTAAGTAACATACCATTTGTAGTTTTGTTAATGTCTTTCTTTTTTTCAGTAGCTGTTCTTCTAGATTAAGCATGTTTTCGAGCCAAATCCCAATTGCATGGGATAGTGAGAGGATGATAATGTTTACCTTTAGAGGATAATTAATGTTAATCATTATGACTATGATTAATTTCATTAAGATGTTGTTAAGGAACCTCTTCAATCCTAGATATTGGTAATTATGAAACTCTGGATTGATCATGCTGATTCTGTTATTAGGAATTTAAAGTCTATAACAAATAAATAAGAATGGCTTACCTAACCTTTGATATTGGAGTTGAACTAATTCGGAGCTACTCCCATAAAGTGTTAGAAATTTGAAGGAGGATTAGTTTAACTGTGTTAATTCATTTTTATTTTTGAATAATAAATTCAATATAGTTAATAATTTTTATTAAAGTAAAAAATTTATCATAAAATATTTTATTATGCAGCCATAAAATTAGTTTTCATTATTTGGAAATGTGCAAGTGAATGAAGCTGAATAAAATAGCGAAGTGAAGAAAAAAAGAGAAGAATTTGCAACAGAAATCAGGTCTAGGGAACGAAATTCTATAATAAACAATAAAAGATTAGCTTAAAATGTAGCTCATATTGATTATATTATTTTAGAACTAAACACAAAAACTTCCTGAATCCTAACCATTGATACCATCAACTCTTCCATAAGAATTGTAAATGGCATTAAAAGCTCAACAAGAACATCTATAAAAAAGACAATTTTCATTTGAGGATTTTCCTGAAGTTCTACAAAAGATCTTTTCAACAGATATTTTATAATTACACTATGGAGTGACAGGATTAAGAAAGATGTTATCTGTAGAAGTAAGATGTATATAGAAATAATAAAGTCAGGTGCGCCAATATAGTAGGTGATTGATGCGAATTTGGTACCAAAATTAATTGACATAATTTAAAAAGAATAAATACCTCAATTGGTCTTAGAAGCAGCTTGGGCCTTGACAAATGTAGCTAGTGGAACAACTTAATAAACTTAATCCATAATTGACAAAGGTGGAATATATTTATTTGTGAAACTTTTAAGTTCATAATATAAAGATATTGCTGAATAAGCAGTATGGGCCATAGGTAATATTGCAGGAGATTGTACACAATATAGAGATCTAATATTAAGAGTAGGTGGAGTGGATCCTTTGATAGCCATTATGTAAAATGCTTAAAACAAAAACACTATTAAACATTGTACTTGGTCTTTAAGTAATCTTTGCAGAGGAAAACCAATTCCTGAATTTAAGGTATTGATTTTAATATATATAATAATAGTATGTTAAGAATGCATTACCAGTCTTTTGTAAAGTCATAATAGATGATACTGATCCAGAAGTATTGACAGATGCTTGTTGGGCATTATCATATTTAAGTGATGGAGATAACAGTAGATTATAAACTGTTATTGATTCACAGGTGGTTCCAACTCTAATAAGATTGCTTGATCATTCATCTCTACAATTGGTGATACCAACTTTAAGGATTTTAGGAAATGTTGTAACTGGAGATGAAGTCTAAACAACATATGTATTAAATTAAGGTTTATTATAAAAAATACCTAAGTTGCTATCTCATGATAAGAAGGCTATCAGAAGAGAAGTATCAATATTTTATATTTAAGGCATGCTGGACAATCTCAAATATCACTGCTGGTAGTAGCAATCAGGTTAGTCAAGTGATTAGAGATTCTGCTATATTGGAAAAACTATTCACTTTGATGACCACTGATGTTGAAGAAATTGTGAGGGAAGCCACTTGGGCCATTTCCAATTCAACTAAACATGGAAGCAATTAAGATATCTAATTGATTGTTTAAAAAGGATTGCTTAATGTTTTCAAACATCTATTAGAAGGTGAAGATACTCAAACTATGACTGTAGTTCTAGAAGCCATATTCAATGTCTTGAAAAGAGGTTTCTAAATATTTTTAAGATTTAGGTGACTAAGATTTTAAAGAGGACAATTATTACTTAACCAAATTAGAAGAAATGGGGGTCATTTCTAAAATTGAACAATTGCAAAAACATTAGAATCAGGGTGTCTATCAAAAATGTTTTAACATTTTAGAACAATATTATGAAGCAGAATCAGAATTATGATATATATATGTTAAAATAATTAATATAAATTTATTTTTATAAACACTTCATATTAGCTAGTTTTGTATCTATGATTTTTTTTATCTAACTTCTGCTTGTATACTCACTCATTAACTTCTAATTTCTATTTTTGAATATGGATTATGTTTGATTATAATTTCAACTTTTTTCGTTTGACTCTTAAACTTCTCATTCTCATTTCTTTGTTTAATCTTCTCCACACATCCCAGAGCTAGCAAACAAACTTAAATATTCTCAATTTCATTATATTACCTAATAACAACATTAAAAACAAGAATCAAAGTTTTTATTAAAACAACTTCTAAGATTGGTTTCGAATATGACAATTAAACGATCAAATTAAAGCTATATCTTACTACTAAATCTCAGTTTACTTCTCCATCAATAAATTAAGTAACATTATATTGTTTAATCAACTAATTTTTAAAGTTTGGAAAACTGAATATCTCATGTATGTAATTGTAATTAAATTTCAAATGATATATCTTTGCATTTGATGTTATTGCTATAAAGCCATCTCTAACTTTAACAATTCCAATAAATTATCCAAAATTTGATAGAGAATCATTCAAATCCTTTTCTTCTCTGTTATTATATTCATTGTTTTTGTTTCTTTCTTTATAGCAGTTTTTGAGACCAACACCTGACATTGTAATTATTGTTGTCTTATGATCTAAATGAAATTTCTTTGTTTAATTTATGTCAATCATTTCTTTAACTATGATTCCCTCTATCAATTTTACAAAAATTAGAATTGCATTCATTATTTTATCATTTTATAATGTTATTTTGAAAACAATAAAATATAAATATTTTGTTCTTATTAAAATATAAATCAAATCAAAGCTATTATTCTTATATTGATGGAGCTTTGATTACCCTACTCTCATCAAATTTTATTTAGTTCTGAGTTTCATTAATATCTTTCTTTTAATGATTTTCTATTTCAGTATCTAATCTTATTTCTTCATTCCTCAATTATTTATATTTATAACAAATTGCACTTACTAATAAATAAATCTATACTAATACCACAGAAAAATATTGCAACTCCTAAAACTATTAAAATAAAATAAATTATATTGATTTGTTATTCAAATAAGAAGGGTTTTACAAATTCAACTGATATTTTTTTGGTTGTTCTTATGACCTTTTCTTGAGATATAGTATTGTTTATAATATAGGATTAATTATATTTCAAAACATAAAATTGTTTAGAGTTTTCTAATTATTCTAAAAAATTAATAATATAAAATTACTATTGTCATTAAAACAAACTATTCTAGCAGGAACAAATTTAAATTTAGTTAAAAATGCATTTGTAGCAGTGACTCCAAAAAAGAAATCATCATATTAATAATCATCTTATTAGGCAGCAGCATTTTTAAGCTCATCTTTTGAATTAGAATATTTAAAAAATTCAAAATCTCTCATACCTATCTATGAAAATCTAATAGACTCTTTGTGAGGAGCAATAAAATCATAACCATTTTAAAATACGATTTAATGATTGCTAACACCACTAATAATAGCAAACTCATCTGTAGCATCAATATCTAATATTCTATAATTACTATATTTTTTTGTAATAATAGAAAATGTTCTCTCTGTAAAATCAACTAGATATTCTATATAAAAATAAACACCATCATCTTAATAGGCTGCAAATACATTCTTTCCATTTTTTGTATCAATTGCAATTCCATTTGGTATAGGATCAATCTCCATAACTTTTTCAAATTTTACGCCCTCTTCATTAAAGTATATATAAGCCAAAATTAAACCTAATTTTGAATCTAATAAATATAATTAATATTTTGCATTTTCAATCTTAAGAACTGCAAAATCTCTTAAATCCAACTAATGAGCTTTGATATCAAAATCTTTAAATGATATATTTTTTTCAAATTATACTGAATCATCAAGAATTTTGAATATATCTAAACCTGCCTTACCTACTGCTGAAAACAAATATCCTTCAACTTCTTTTGTTAGCCCTCTTTCTTCTCTTACTATAAAATTGGAAATTAAATGTATGGAAAGCAAATGTGAATTTTTTTCCATTTCAGATATACTAAAATATTGAGCAGAATCAGAATATAAAATGAAAGCAAGATTTCTAGTTTTTGAATAAACTAATTATGGTAATTATTCTTTAGATTCAGTTGATGATATTATGTCTTATAGATTTGCCTTCCAAATTACCCCTGCAAAATCAGCTTTATTTCCATAGGTTGTAAAACTATGTTCATTTAGTACTTTATTATAGTTGAATTTCATAAAATATGCAACGGAATCAGAAGTAATTGCTATCATTCCATCATTAACATGAACCATCCCAATGAACTATCTAAAGTTTAATGGAGTATCATTTTCGAATTCATAACTATTTATCAATTAATCAATATACTCTTTAAATTCATCAGGCCTTATTATTGTAAATTATTGTGTTGTTGTTTAAACAGATTGCTATTTTACTTCACAAAAATTTATTTTTTCGAAACTATCTAAAACAGCATCCTCTGCCTCAGTTATTGTTTTGATTATTTTTGGTTCTCCAAAATGGATTTTAAATGTCTCTGAAGACTCTTGATTCTCTTAAATTACAATTTCACCAAGGCTTAGGTTAATCCAAATTAATAAAAACTAAACAAACATTAAATTATCTTAATCTTATATAGTAATAAATTTCACAGGAATACTTTTTGAGTTATAAAATTTATAGAAATAGCTTTCTTTAGAGTTAGTTCCAATCTTTATATACTATTATTAATTTATCAAACATTAAATGGAGATATTATCATCTAAATTAAATTGGTTAATCAATATAAAGAAGCTCTTTTTAAAAGAGAATGTGCTTGATATTTCAGAATTGATTAGTTCTTTGAAGGAAGGGATTATTACAGATTAAATTAATTTCTAAGATGAATTATTTTCATTAGATGAAGTTATTGAAGAAGTTTATAAATATAAGAAAATTAGATTAACATATGATGATTTCTTTTAAATTATTGGTAATCTTCATTAATAGGATCCATAATTATCCACTTGTGTAAATTCTTTGGCAGATTCTATTAATGATCTAACTTTGAATGATGTCAAAGTCAAATAAGAAATAAGGTTACCTTATCACGATCCTACAAAATTAATTAAGACTCAATAAAGTTGTAGAAATTCAAAAATTTCTAAAAGTCCAAGGATGAGAATTGAAAATCTTCAAGAGGCATAGAAGAAGATACTAGCTAAAATAACTGATATAGAAAATGAAATAGAATATGTATGATTATTTGACTATTTAACGAAGTAGAAGTAGTAGCATTAACTAAAGAAGCCACATATTTTATAAATAAAAGAATTGACAAAATAATTACAATTAAATGAATAGGAAATAACTCTAAATGGAATAAGTGCTTTTTCTCTTTAAGACTTTTATTTAGTTTTCCATAACCTTAATAAAACAATTTTTAATATCTAAACTCTTATATTTAATGATAAATGTTAAGAAATCCGCGAAGTAACAATGATTTTTAAGAACTTGAAAGCTTTAAGCATCAATTCTATATATTTAAAAGAATTAAAGTTTGAAGAATTAACAGAACTTAAGGTTTTATCAGTTGTAGGAAATAATTTAAAATCCTTAGAGGGATTGCCGCCAAATTTAATTGAGCTTTATGCACAACATAACTAAATTTCACAATTAAGCAATACAAAAAGCCTCAAAATCTTAAATATAAGCTTAAATTGTATTTCTTCTTTACAGTAGTTGCTAAATATTAATAAATCATTAGAGTTTATAAATTGTCATTAAAACTAATGTGCATACTCTAAAGATTATAAAAGATTTCTATTCAAAATATTCCCAAATTTAAAAGGAGTAGATAAAGATGATTTGTTATAGCATTCAATAATTTAATAGAACAATTTTCATTAAAAGAAAGAACCAATGGAATTTTCTTTTAGTTAATCATGATTATAATTTATTTAAAATACATATAAGTTTTGTTTTATACGGTCAACATTTTTTTTATTCCTTCTACAAAAGATGAGCTCTTTAGATTACTTCACTTAAATTGATATCTTATTTCTCTAGATTTTGTAAAATCAATAAAATTTATCCAAAATCTCCAGCTATTAAAAATTCCCTTAACTATATTAAAAAAGAAATCGACAAATAATATGTAAATTCCTCTCTATTGTTTTTCTAACAAAGTAAGCAATCCCAAATCCGTAATGAATCATCTATGTGAAAATCTTAAGCAAACAAAATCATAAACCACTTTACATATAAGATTGAGAAATCCATCTTTTAATTTACTAGATGATCATGCAGTTTCCAATCTACTTTCTTTAAAAGATCCTAAAATGCTCTAACTTTTTCCTTTTAAAGCTAAAAGTTGTCCTTCAAACTTGTCATCAATATCATAAAACAGTAGAATGCATCACTCTCATTCTGTAATTTCTCATTTGGATCTCTCATACACATATAAAGACTAAATCTATTTAGCATTACATTAATGCAGCAAATTCATTCATTCCTTAGACATAATCCATTTTATTTAATTTACAGCACAAAAATAAAATCCTAGTAAGCATCTCTCGATCTTCCTCTTTTCTTAATTCTTTCACTCTTGTACGAATAACATCTTTCTAAATCTTGGACCATAATTATTAATCCTAAAAATGATTATTCCATTCAGAATCTGTATTTCTTGATAGAGGATGATCATTTTTTTTTTGAGCAGGGGCCTTCTTTATATTCTCTATTTTTATATTATTGTAATTATCTCTATTTTTTATGATCACCTAACTCCAATATTTTCTATTTAAAGGGAAATACCTTTTCAAAATTATAATTATTTACCCTAAAAGCAATCTCCAAACTATTCCTCTTAATCTACTTGTTTAATTTGTGAATCCTTATTGGCATAACTTTATCAACCCTTCTTCATCCACAATTTCGCTTCTTAGAATATTTTAAACATCTTTAATTAGTTATTAATTATCATTAGAAATCCCTGTCAAATTTTTAGAGAGGATTTCAATATCAATTTCTTATGATAACATTAATATTTTTAATAATATATAATAATTATATTTTATATCAGTTTTTCTGATACATAGGATCAATCTTATTTCTGACATATGGATTAAGTGAATAATTCTTCTATTATAACCCATTTGATTGCTATAGATTTTAATTATACACTTATGATTATTATTATGGTATATTCTACTACTATTATTATTATTGTTATTATAATTGATATTATTATAGCGTATTTGGAAGATTTGGCTGTTAGACATAATTCATTGTATTACATTTAGTGCATTTTATTATATTAGATACTATTTAAATTGTAAATGAATACATTCGCATTAATACATGACAACCATTTTACAAGTACCACATTAAAAGTAACCATAGTTAGGTTGGTTTACTTACTTACATTAACAACATCTAAAAGGTTATTTTTCATTCAATATTGTCTAAGGAGTTTTACAATGAATGCAAATCTAATAAGTTTATCTATTTGATTAGGTTATTTCATTATTATTATTGTAATTAATACTTGTACTAGAAAAAGAATTTAATATTTAATCCATACTAAGATTAGAATATTAATTTATGTATGGATTATTTATATATTAATTATTCTATTTAGATTATGTAAATTTTACTACTTATTGCTGAATTGGTTTTTTCTATTATTCTTAAATTTGGGGTTACATAACTTATTATTATGCAGCTTATTAGTTCTACTATTAAATCTGTTATTTTTATTAATTATTTTAAATTATTTGGTTCACATAAACATTATATTGAGCATGAGCAATCGGTTCTTCAAGTTACTTAGGTTTAACAACTTCTGCATGTTATACTTCTGAAAGCTAATTAAAAAGATATACTGGCATCATCTAATGAAACATATTCCTAATCATCTCCATTATCTTAAAACAGAAAATCATTGTTGATTTTTTTTGATTCCTTGTATTTACTATTAGATTTATTCGATAATAAACCCAAATTTCCATTATTTTAATCCATCCAAAATGATTATTAGAATTATATAAAATATATTATTAAGAAAAGTTTTTCATTTATTAAAAAATATTACATGAAATTTTCTCATACCTTAAATTGAAGAAACTATTTATAAAATTTAACTAATAGCCAAAAATTTAGATTGAAGTAAAATTTTAATTGTTTATAAGTAAAACAAAAAGAAATTAAATTAACATATTTCACTTTTTAAATTTTTTTCAATAAACAAAAGTTCAAGTTTAATTTTATTTTTAATATAGTAATTCCTTAGGCATATTAAGTTGAATAAAAATATATTTGATTAAAAATTATCACTATATTGACAATATAAATAAGTCTTTATGTCTCTAAATAAATTAAATAGATTTTTACTAAAATGATTTTATCTTGAATAGAATTACCTAAATTTAAAATTAAAATGAAAAACTTTGCTGCATATTTAATTTCTTCAATGAGATGGATTGAATTAAAATTTAATTAAACACTAAAGTTCTAGGTTTATAATCGAAAGTTTAGATATCTAAAAAATAACAACAATAAATTTATGCTTACTTAGATTATAAATAGAATTAAATTTAGATAAAATTGAATTATGAACTGTGAATTATTTGTAATAAATTAATCCCTTATTGTAGAATTAAATCTACAGATTAATTGTATTCAAATGTCATTGAATAATAATACACATTTATTTCCATTTAATAGTTTGAATTTATAAAATATCGATGATTGGCATCTTTTCAAATTCAGTTATATACTTGGTTTCTACTATCTAATAAAAATTAAATAAAGATACCTCCATTTTAGATGCATAAAGCATTGAAGCTGTACCTAATAATTATTCATCACCTTTAGAGATGGTTTTTTAGATAGATAGCAATCAAAACATGTATGCAATAGGGAAATCATATGATAGAAAGAACAAATATCAATTGATAAAATAGGAATTTGATTAGACAACCATTTTTAAAATTTAAATATAAAATATTGATTAAAAATATAAATTAATGGTAGTCAATGGGAAAATGGTTATAAATTCTTAATAGAAATAGAACGTCTATCAGTAAATTTTTTATTTGAATGCGGAGAGGCATCTAATTTAGTTGAGGTCTTCATTTCATCTCTGATTTCCTCAACATAATCAAAATCTTTGATTAAATCAGATGTTTCTTGAGTTAATCTTTAAGAAAAGAGTATTTATTCTTTATTTAGATTTTTGGTTGAAATTTATTTCATGATAGGTTTAGGTATAAAAGATTTAATATTATAAGAAAGACTGGCAATTTATTCTTTAATTTTGGACATTCTATCAGTGTAATATTATTATTTAGTTTTGATATTTTAATTAATAGCAGATAATTATAAAGGATTAGTTGTAATATGATTAGAAATGTTAGCTTATCTTCTATTTCTATAAGCAATCATAGAATCTAATTCTAGAATCTAAAATTCAGCACTAAGAAATCCAGTTTGATTATATCCTCCAAATATCANATATTGACAATATAAATAAGTCTTTATGTCTCTAAATAAATTAAATAGATTTTTACTAAAATGATTTTATCTTGAATAGAATTACCTAAATTTAAAATTAAAATGAAAAACTTTGCTGCATATTTAATTTCTTCAATGAGATGGATTGAATTAAAATTTAATTAAACACTAAAGTTCTAGGTTTATAATCGAAAGTTTAGATATCTAAAAAATAACAACAATAAATTTATGCTTACTTAGATTATAAATAGAATTAAATTTAGATAAAATTGAATTATGAACTGTGAATTATTTGTAATAAATTAATCCCTTATTGTAGAATTAAATCTACAGATTAATTGTATTCAAATGTCATTGAATAATAATACACATTTATTTCCATTTAATAGTTTGAATTTATAAAATATCGATGATTGGCATCTTTTCAAATTCAGTTATATACTTGGTTTCTACTATCTAATAAAAATTAAATAAAGATACCTCCATTTTAGATGCATAAAGCATTGAAGCTGTACCTAATAATTATTCATCACCTTTAGAGATGGTTTTTTAGATAGATAGCAATCAAAACATGTATGCAATAGGGAAATCATATGATAGAAAGAACAAATATCAATTGATAAAATAGGAATTTGATTAGACAACCATTTTTAAAATTTAAATATAAAATATTGATTAAAAATATAAATTAATGGTAGTCAATGGGAAAATGGTTATAAATTCTTAATAGAAATAGAACGTCTATCAGTAAATTTTTTATTTGAATGCGGAGAGGCATCTAATTTAGTTGAGGTCTTCATTTCATCTCTGATTTCCTCAACATAATCAAAATCTTTGATTAAATCAGATGTTTCTTGAGTTAATCTTTAAGAAAAGAGTATTTATTCTTTATTTAGATTTTTGGTTGAAATTTATTTCATGATAGGTTTAGGTATAAAAGATTTAATATTATAAGAAAGACTGGCAATTTATTCTTTAATTTTGGACATTCTATCAGTGTAATATTATTATTTAGTTTTGATATTTTAATTAATAGCAGATAATTATAAAGGATTAGTTGTAATATGATTAGAAATGTTAGCTTATCTTCTATTTCTATAAGCAATCATAGAATCTAATTCTAGAATCTAAAATTCAGCACTAAGAAATCCAGTTTGATTATATCCTCCAAATATCATAAGTTTATGATCTTCAACAATAGCACAATGACCAGCTCTTGGTTCTTTACAATCTAATTCTACAATACTCCAAGATTATGTTTCTACTTTGAAGATATGACAATCATTTAAGAAAGAAGATGTTTCACAAATACCTCCATAGATGATAATGATTCCCTATCTTTCACAATAGGAAGCAGAATGTTTGTATCTACTAACTTAGATTTATTTTCTATTAATTTACTTGGTAATTTCCCTTTTCCATTAACTAAAGACCATTACATAGGACGACAACACGGATTGAGCATATATAAACCTGAGTATAAGGTTCCAGTTTTAGATTCTCCTCCAAATAAGTAAACACCTTCAACTTTATATTTGATTTCTTTCATTTCTTCAGGATCCATATAATTTTTATAAATCTAGATATTTCTGGAAGTACTAAAAACTGAGATAAGTGTATGAAAGGCAATTCCATTAATAAAAAAATCATTAGGTTCGACTTAACTCAAAATCATCTTATTATTCAAAATATCATAGTGATATAAATCATTTAAATACTTTCCTTTAGTATTAATTCCTGCATGAATCATAATATGTTTTCCTACTATAGCTCCTGATGCTCCTCTTCTACCTTCAATTACTTCTCCTCCAAACCTTAAAACTTTGAATTCATTATTTTCTAATTTAAATCTTTAACAAATTACCTGTATTAAATACTCTAAAATCATTAGTACTTTCTCTAATCTTTTATTAACCATCATATGGTTTTTCACCACCAAATATATAGATATTTCTTCTATATACACAATGAATATGATTAGTTCTACCAAAAGGGGCTTTCTCTCCTATTACTTAAGGTTGATACCATTCCTTATTTTCCCAAATTACCATATCATTAAATGGCTTACTGCTTATTCCACCAAATAAATATAATTTTCCAGATACATTATTTAATGATGCTCCTTCTCTCATTTAAGGTCTCCATTTCCCGTAAAATTAATCTATCCATCCCAAATAATGAGTAGGTATCATTTATTCTTCTTCAGGTTACTGAACTTGTATAACTTTTGCTTTTATTGCTGGCATTATTTAACCTTCCTCATCTATCTTTGCAGGATATGTCTTTATTTTAGGTAATTTATTATAATTATAAGATCTAGATCTAGCAAATGTTGTTCTCATTATATTTTATTTCTACTACTCTTCTTAATATTTTAATTAACTCTTATTGTGATCCAATTAAAATGCTATTTAATCCTTTAAACAACAACTATCATTCAAAATTGATTAACTCTTATCTGTTATATTAAATTTTCGAACATATGATTATGAATAATTATGTATTATCTTCTCTCTATATGTTTAAAATCTTTAATCACTCTCAAGTTTTCCTAATAAAGTTTTATCCAAATTCAATAATTCTTATTAACTTATAAATTTAACTCCTTTCTAATCTGGTAATTTGGGTAATAAAGGATGCAACTGAAAAATAAGTTATTTAAATTTACCAATTAGCAACCTTTAGATACTAATTAAGTATATTGTGTCATTGTTTAATTTGTAAGTCCTTAACTTTAATATTCTTAAACTATCTAACCCATAATTTCATCATCCAAATATCCTCTTATATTCTCTTAATCTAATTAAATTTCATCTTCATTCTATAATATTTCACTCATATAATTAAATTAATAAATGAATACTACTTAAGCACTCTAATAAACTATTCATAATTATTGTCTACAAGTACTCTAAGCTGGAGATTTTACGGTATCACTTTCATCTCTATATATTCTCTTTAGAAAAACCAACAAATTATTGACAATCTTAAATCATTTATTTTAGATTGGAATAATTTACCTATCTTTAAAAACATTGTTGAATAGGATCAAAATCCAGTTACCATTTTTGTACTTTATAACATACTTTAAAAATCTGTTACTTTAAACTCCAAATTCATTAATGTACTTTAACCTTCATTAAGAAAATAATCTACTTTTGAAGAATTAGAAATGTATACTATGTCTTTATCTTAGCAATCAAAAATAATATTATAATACCATTGTTAATCAACATATAGATATTGTTATCACTTATTTTGCTAAAAACTTAAATCACCCTAATTATGTATAAAATACAGTTCTATTTGTTTTATCCTTTATAATTAGAAAATATTGGACAGATATATCCAACTCTGATTAATTATTAGATAAATTGATTAACACATTTTTTAACACTCAAAGTTACTCAGTTTTAACTCTAGGGTGTAAACTATTTGAAAATCTCTTAATTTGTGTCAGATCTTATTACTATGCCTCCAATTATTTGGAATTCAGAAAAATTATGATGAGCTTCTTGAAGTAAAATATAAATCTCTTCATTTTAGAACATCCTTAAGTAATCTCTTATGTTCTACTCATAAATTAATTATTTGTTAATTGTAACATAAAACATTTCTATAATTATATCAAGATGATAAGACTTTTATTAGTTCATTAATTCAATTGCTATATTCATTCATGACTTTTAATTTTAATCTAAGCTTTTATGAAGTTGAGGCAGATCAAGATCAAAAAGATAATTATATTGTTAATGTAATAAATCAAAAAAATTATTTAGTTTCCTGACTTTTACATTTCAATAATAACTGAATTAAAACTCAATCAAGAAATTTTCAAATCCATTATAGACTTTTATACTTTAGATTAAACTATTTCAATCAAATTAATTACTATTATTTAAAGAATAGCAGCTTCAAGACTTTCACTTTTTTTAGGAAAACGTCCTTCCAAATAAATACTAAGAAAAACTTTATGGGAAGGTTTACTTTATTTATTAAATAACAATTCAATTTATATTACAAATTATGATTTTTGTAATGAAATTTGTATATTTGCAATTAAATTAATAGTAAATAATATTTTTTCTAATCTAGTCAAACTTCACACTTAAAAAGCTTAACAAATTTTCAGATTTTTTTGATTAATGTGTAGTCTAATTTAATTAAATAAATCAAGCAATCTTCAGTAATTATTAAATTAAGATCCAACCAAATAGTTTATTTATTAAATTACAAGAAGTTTGGAATTCATTTTAATAATAATTAAACCCATACAAATAACATTTTATAACATAATATTAGAATCTATCAAATTCTATAAATTTCAATTTTAAACTTCTTCTTCAAGCATTTTATAATGGGAATCCATTTGTAGATATTCCATCAAACATCCCAATTAAAAAAATTTAGAAGTTTATAAATAAAAGTTTTAAATTATGTGCTTAAGTGTATTAAGAAAATGCAGTTGAATGTACAAATTTACTTCTGGAATCCTTTAAAACAATTCCAATCCATGTATTAATTATTTCTCATTTTAGTAAATATAGTAAATGGTAGAATAGGAACAAATGAATTTAATATGTAAATTTATTTTTTTATTTTTAGAAAAAATGAATTCACTACTCTGTTTAATATCAGCTTTTGTTGTTAGTCCAACCTAAGGAGAATTATTGACTGGATATGATTATTATGGTTAATAAAATAAATAAGAGAGACCTCCTTAGTTCGGCCAATTAATCATATATATTTTGGAAATAATATCATTTACTAATAAGATCACTTTAACAGCCACAACTGCTGAAATGAAATATATTATAAAAATGTTTCACACAAATTGTTTGATTTTCATACAAACTTACATAATGCAAACTGTAGAGAGTGTATATTATGATGAAACCACAAATATGATCAGTACTTAATCATAATTGTAATTACAAATATATTACTTTAGATAAACAAACATTTTTCGTGATTAAGCAAATTAATAGAATTTTTTAGTAATTATGGAGACATGTTTAGAAAGATGGTATTATTATAAATAAATTAAGTTATCAAATTTTTACTATGAATGAACCTGATTTAGTAGAATACAGTTTTTAAATTTTATAATTTACATATGAGAAGTAAAGTATATTGTAATAAAAATTAAAGATTAAAGAGACAACTTGATAGAAGAGTATTTTAAGCAAGTTCTGTTAATACTATGTTAAGATAATTCTATCTTTAGATGGATTTGACTTGTTTTAATGAAATTAAGTATATTAAAAAGAGAAAACTTGTCTATTAATTAATTACTCTTGTATGGATTGATGATCAAATGGATGATTATGTTCCAGCTTTGGTGGACATTTATAAATAGATCAAGAAATCAATTGCTGTAGAAGCAGATAAAATAAATATGCTTAAATATATATGGGATATAATCGGATTAGCAAATGAAATAGATATAGATAAAATTTATAGAATCTTTTTACGAATTGTGTACTATGAGATAATTATTTTAGTTTACCTGATTTACAGAAAATATTATGTCCAGAAAATGTTCAATTTTTTGTCTCTGATTTTGATTCATCTATTGGATTAACTACTTTAATTTTTACTATTTTTAAAAATAAGTAAATTTAAAAATTTAATTTAGAAATACAAGATTATCTAATGAAAATATATAGTTAGTTCTTTATACAATTTATGGATAAGCTAAAAATTATTTTATGGCATCAATTGATTATTTAATAACTTAAGCTTAAATTTCATCTAAATAAGGTTAATAAGTTTAAGAAAATATTTTAAAGATGGCTGCTAAATTACTTAAAGTGATGGGATAAATCTCTAGTTCTAAGTAAATTAATTAAGGATTTTTTATAATCTATTAAACTAATTTCTGTTTAGAATTATTTAAAAAATAATTATAACTAATTTTAGTTTATAGACCATTATTCTAAAATTTGATTAAATATAAACGTTATCTCTTTGAATGTCTAGAAGGTATTTGTTAAGAACACAGCGAAACATTAACATATAGATGTGGTGCTGAAACATTTTTAGAGTTGTTTGAATTATCAGAAAATGTTTTAAAAGAAATTCTTAATTTTTAATCAATAAAGGGTGATGAATAAATTAATGAAGAAGCTATTTAATTATCATAATTAGCAACAATTTTAGTTAATTCAATTTAATTTTTAATTCAGGAAAGTGTAATTGGAGAAGATTAAGACACAAAAACGATTAAACTTAAAATGTCTGAAATCTATTCTCAAGGAAAAAAACTATTGTAATCAATTTTTAGATTCAGTTTTATGGTAACTGTAGCATTCCCTAAAATACTAAAATTCTTATAGCCTAATTCTGATATAATTTTTGCGATATCTTTATTTGATCCAAAAGAAGTAATTAATAATAATTTATAAATTAGTTTTAAAATCTTATTCTATAATTGATTTAAGAGTATTAAAATTAATTATGGCTATCAAATCTTATCATAGATCCAATAACAATAGGATATTAAAGTAAAATTAAATTTAATTATTAAGGTTTGGAAAACTATTTGAATAGCTTCACAAAAGATAACTTTACTAAATAAATAAAATATGTACTTGAATATATTTGTCATGATTCTTAATGATGAATTAAAATAGTTTAATAAATTATAAATTAATAAATCAATCAAATAGTTATTAAAATGTTTGTCTACCAGAATTAGGTTATGATGTAGATATTTTTGATTTGTTATATTTTAAAAATCCTGGAATCCATATTTTTTAGTTTTCTAAAAGTTTCTAATCTAAAGAAGGATGTAATTATTTTCTAATTTCAATTTGTGATAGAACTCTATGAGTTTAAATTGAATTTGGATCTTCAGGTTCATCATTTATTTAAAATGTAATTCCTTTCGGTTCAGTTTTCAATTTGAAGTTTTTTCTATTGGTCGAAGGATTCTTATAATGTTAGTTTTCATCTATATTTAATTTGATAGATTCAAAATTTTAATAGAATTGTTCTTTCTTAGCAAAAAATGATTTTCTTTAAGTTGCTTTTAATGTTTTCTATTAAATGTTATTTTACTCAACAACACTATATAGTATATTTAATACTCTGGTAAACGATTCTTTTTTACTGAGAATCCAACATGCAATATTTTATCTCTATCTTTTTCTGAATCTTAAATTGCCTTATTAACTAATTTACGATATTCTCTCACATAGGCTTTATGTTACTTTTTCATCAAATCCTCTTACAAATGTTGAGATTTCTTTTTGGTATCCTGATTGTATATCAATTCAATATTTTCTAATCCTCTAGGTGAGAAAAATTGTTTTTCATTTGTGATACTGATAGCATTCTAAAAAAATAAATATTTTAATACATATGTATTTGAATATCTTATAGTTTTAATTCCATTTTCAATAAAATTAGATAACAGATTAATTTAATCTTTTTATTTGTAATCTAATTCAAATAAGATAGCAATAATGTTATCACATTATAAAATTAATGGACCTCTAAGGTTATTTTCAGCTAAAGATTAAAACCTCTATATTATAAAATAGATTCACAATTACCTTTTCTGGATTAGTAAATGTGATAGTATGTATATCCCAAGTATTTGTTTATTTAATTTAAAACTCAATTTTGACATCTTTGAACAACCAATAATGTAAAAATGGCTTTTTAATTATACAAGTCATTTCTGTTTGATTACATAGCATTGGTTATTTAGGTTTATAAGCAGGAGATTTAACAACATACTTTCCAATAGATTAATATTCCATAGCATCTCTTCTGTGATGAATTCCTATATTACATTTAGGCATCCATTCATCAGTAACTTTATTGTAAGTGTATAAATCTCCTGTAGTAGTATCTAAGAAATAATCATCATGAGAGTTTTTTAATGCTTAAAGAGTATATTTAGGAAAGTCAACTAATTTACTGCCTTCTCCATTTCCATTTGTAATATTAATATGCTATATTTAAATGCTATAAAATTTACTGTAGAAATATTGGAAGCACATAAATATGCAAGAGCTTGTGCTCCAAATGAGGTCATAAAGAGTAGTTTCTTAGTTTTAATACACATTCTTATTAGACTTATAATCTAGAATAGTAATTTATACTTATACATTTCTCATGTTTGGATTCCAAGGTCTTGTATTTGGTGAGGCTATTATAAAAACCATGTCTAATGAATTAAATTTTAAACCATTTTCTGGCTTTATTAGAGATGTTTCTGGCTCAAATAAATATTCTTCTAAATTATGTCTATCAAGCTCAATATAATCAAAATCAATATCAGCAACTTCCTTTTAGGCTTAGGTGATCTAGATATTTAAACTCGATACCTCATATATTTATTGCTTAAATTGATTAAAGATCTTTGAATGAGAAGCAGTTGCAGTAAATCCATTAACAATCAAAAATTTCATAACAAAAATAATTGTTAATTATATATGTTGAAAAATTTCAAAGAACTAATCAACATTTCAAATAAAACTAATTATATAAAAATTTATAACCTTTGCAAAAATCAGAGTTTTCTAATATCACTTAAATTTTTAATATCAAATTTATATACAATAAAATTGAAAAAATACACTTTTTTCGGATATAAGACAAAAAATATTCTCATCCAACTATTTATTTTATGTTTTAATTTTTAGAAAAAAGTTTTATTAAATTTATTTTCGGTTAAAATCAAAAGTATTTAATTTTACAATTTAGGATTTTATTCTCTATTTCCTAGAAGATTAAGATGATTAGAATGAATTTTTGAATTTTAATCTCAATATATTAGCAAGCATTATTTTAAAAAACTATAAAATTTAAATTGATATCATTATTTTTAAAGGTAAATTGGTTAAGATATCAAAAAGATCAATATGGTTAAAATTTTAAACAGGAGATCCTTTAGATAGATTACTTTAAACTCTAACAGATTTAGAAGAAAGATATGGCTATATAAAAGGAAGATGATGCCGGAAATCATTAATGTTTAGATTTTACACAATGGTAAGATAATTTATTTATATTTTTATAAGATATCTCAAATTTAGATAGAGATTTAGCAGAATCAAAAAGATATAAAGATTGAGTTAGAAAGTAAGCAACGAAAATGTTAGAGCTATAGAAAAGATAGATTAATATAATTTGAAAAAGTAGTTGTTTAAGATGGCAAACTAAAAACTTAATTAATAAGGAATTAAGAATTTTAAGTGGATAAATTAGTCTTAAGATAATAAACTGTAGAATAAATCTGATTTTGATTTATTTTTCAATTTAAAATAAAAATCTAATATTTATCATTTCCCTTTCCTCTTTCTTAAATTAAATGTTAATCCTATTTCATCATTCTTTACATGAGTTTATATCTATAAATCAACCATCATTTAATCTAAAATCTAACTATTTTATTCTACCTGATTTTTATAACATATCAGTTGCAAAATTGCTATCAATATATTTATCAACCAAACTAGCTATTACACCTTATTCTTTTGGTAAATTCAATTGAGTAACAATTAAATTTGTTGCTTCTCCTCCTTCTTCTTAATCAAAACTTGCCTAATGTATTACTCCATTTATTTAAATCAAACCAATATATTTTAATTTTAACTAATTTTCATAATTCTTTATTTTACTTTATTTTTATAAAATATTATTTGCTTTACATTTATATCATTTTTTTTACTCAATTTATACTTCAAATCTGTTTTTATTGCTATTTAAAATCTTCTACATGAAAATCCATTTAATAATGAATCTATTTTAATTTTTATATTGCATACCATATTCTGCACTCAATAAAAAGTTAATAGGTTAGCTTTTAGCAGGAATATCAACTGGTGAACTATAATCAGCAAGCTAATTTCCTGTAAAATGTTTCAATACTTTATCAACATTTGTCTAAAAATCATTAACTATATTATTTACAATTTTAGTCAAATTCTCAGCACTTAAACAAACCGTATGATCTTTAAAACTTAAATAATATGATCCAATTTCACCTATACTTTTGAAAGTGAACTCGATTAGCGGCTCAAAGGATTGCCTAAATTCCTAAGATATATGATACAATTTTTAATAAATACCTGAAACCATCATTTATTCCAATCTTCTACCAATTCTATTAATTAACCTAATAAGCCACTTTAGTTTAACATAATTAACAGATTTATTATATAAATTTATTCTTACTCTCAAAACAATTAATAGCTTTTGGAGTTTCAAATTCTTAATCATCATCATCACTATCAATATCAGATTCTTCTACTTCTTAAATTAGTTATTATTATTTTTTAGGAATTGCTTACAATTTGAACACTTTTTGCTCTTAAACTTATTATACTGGCTCCTTCATTAAGGTAAATGTCTTTTATTCCAAAATTGTTTTTTCTTTTGCTTCCTTTTATGCAAAAGATGTTGTTGTTTAAGGTTTTTATTCATCTAATTTTAAAGATTATTGAAATTCTTCCAAACTTAATTACTTTTTTTATTTTTTTTATTTTTTCTTCTAAGGAATTTAATCTTCTTCAAAATTCTATTTATTTTTCTATTATTTTAATAGTTCTTATTATCTTAAGAGTTCTTACTATCTTTCATCCTCCACTTATTTTATTCTCAATTCTTCTTATTCTTTTTCTTTCTATTTTTTTAATATTAATCTTCTTTGTTCTTCTTCCTCCTCTTATTATTATTAGATTAATTATTCCTTCTTTTTTACTCCTTCTACTTTTTATTTTTTATTCTTCTTCACTTTTTAAACATAATCTTCATCTTCATCTTCATCGATCGACTCTTATCTTTAATCACTATCTTCATCTTCTGATTCTGATTCAACTTTTTAATTTTTCTTATTTGATTTTTACTATTAATTATTTTGTTTAAAGAAATCAAATGTATCTGATTATGATTATTAGTCACTTAACATTTTATTATTTGATTTATTAGATTAAGAATTCTTTTTTTTTATATCAAAAGATTCATCATCTTCATCTGAATCACTTTCATCAATTTCTAGTTCTTCATATTTATTTTCTTATTTTTTATCTTGGTTTAATTAAATCTATGATGAAGTTTTAGTTTCTTATATGTTAATAGGTTGAAAATTAATTTTTGGCATAAACTCCTTTAAACTATCATCTTCATACATACTCTTAGATTCTTTAGGTTCATCAAGATGAAATCTTTTACTATATTTTTCTAATTATGCTTATTTCATTTTTTCAAAATCAGCAGAATGTTCTTTTTCAGAATCATCTTAAACTTTTTCACTCTTATCTTGTATTTTTGTTTCTTAAGGTCTTTATTATACTTCAGGCATTTTTAAACTTGTAAATTAGTTGAAGTCATTCTTAATTTATTCTTTAGCAGTTTATATTGGTAACACTAATAATTTTGATTCAGTTTGAGCTAATTTTTTTGATATTCCTCTACTCCACATGTTACCACTGTCATCTTCATCATCATATTCAGATTCTGATTCAGAAATAATAGGAACCTATTTTTTTTAAGGTAAAGATGGTTTAACATCTTTGTTTGTGGATAGTTTCTGTTAATAACTTTTCAATTAAGCCATAACATCAACTTCTTCATCATCTTCATTTAATTAAGAATTTTATGACATTTTCTTTTAGTTGTCAGTATCATCATCATCATATTCTTCTGATTCTTCTTCAGAAAATGGAGAAACTTTACTTTTGGCAAATTTGGAAGAATTATCTCCATCATCAGCAAATTTAGATAGTGACTTTAGCAGATCTATTATTTATATTTAGTTTAATTACCGCTGGAAGCTGTTACGAATAATATCAAAACAAAGAGTATGACTAATTGTTTCATAAAAATAATAATATTTAAACCGTTTTTTAAAAAGAACAATAATAATATAAATAATCACTTTAATTTCCTATTGTCAAATCCTCCATTCCAAATAAAAATAATTATATTATCTAATATGTTATCAATAATTCTATCTTGCAAAATTTATTACCAATTTTCAATCTAAATAAAGACAGTTCTTTAATACTGATCTCTATTTTTATATCGACCTAATTCTTACACATACATTTCAAACACATTAGGATTGCTAAATTTTAATTATATTATATATACATAAGTTTCTTTTTATTCTCTAAATATTCTATATAGGGAAACATAGTGTTTATAGCATAAGTGATTTTTTTCAATTAAGCTTCAATTTATATCTATTAAGCTTAAGGAAGATGAGAGAAGAGAAAGTTTACATATAGAGGAAACTTTGATTTTCTCCAATCATCATTAAAGTAAGGCATAATTTAATCATGTAAGTTTTGAATATCACCCATTTCTTAATTTTTTTAAAAGTCAAATTTAAAATATTTAAGTTTATTTTAATCTAAAGCATTTTCTGAATCTTAAACCAAAAATATGAAATTTTTAATGAATCTCTTACTTGGTGTCATTTAAATTAATTCAACTTAGCATCCTTTTATATTAGATAATGGTTTAAATTAATAAGTATGACAATCATAACCTCCTTCTTATGGTTCTATACATGGAAATTAAATCAATCTAAAACTACTCTATTCTTCAGGAAAAGTTATTTTGATCCCTGCCACACATTCACTATTAACTGAATATACTTAATATTAAACAGTGGTCTATGGATCAAATAATGTAAAATCTAATAATACATCAAATTCATTATCATATTCATTTTATATACCATCTTCATATTCTACTCTAATGTCTTCATTACTATGAGTCTACTAATGAATTGTTTCAGTTTTTATATTAATATTCGATTACTGAGGTGATAAAGGAGGGCTCTGTCGAAGAAACTCTTATAAATTTTCAACTTGATCCTCTTTATTATTGTTGTTGTTTAACATTGATTAATATGTCAAGTATTTTGTTAAAGTATTTTATTTTTCATTTAATAATGGTACAAGTTAATATGGATGCAAATAGAGTTTTGTTGCAAACTCTTCATGTTGATATACTGCATTAAGAGTTAAGATATCTTTCATACTAAATTTTAATCCAAGAAATTTATAATTTAATGATTCATTTCCACCTTTAAATTAAATCAAGTTTTTTACTGAATCATAAAAATATTCTGCATACATATTATAATAATCCTTTATTTCTTTTTATAAATCTTACATAGCTAATTCAGCATTTTATACTTATTAAGATAATTTTCCTGATTGCAATCTTGAATTTGGAAGTTTTAAATTCGAATCTATTGTCAACAATTAAGGATTACTACTAATACCATCACTTTACTATTCTTCTAAATAAAATTCATTCTTTAATGTTGATATCTATCCTACTCTTCTTAAACCATGTTAATTTAATTTACTCAACCTTTGTTCTTCCTTTGATTTCTTTATATACTCTCTCTATTGAATCGATTGAAGAACAAAATCAGATCCAGAATTAAACTGATGGTATAAATAAGCAAAAAATTTGTCATATAACACGAATTCCTATTTACCTCTTATTATACAATTCATTGAAACACAAAGCTCATATAGAATTTTTAAAGTTATTTCTTTATTGTCATTTTATATTACTTTAAGTAATCTCTCTATTTCAATAATGTAGATCTATTCTGGCACTATTCCTAATTGTCTGGTTTATTAAGCATATTGTATTATTTTTAAATATTATTAATCTCTCTTTTTTGTTGAATTACAAATGATTGGCGGTTGCATCCATTATAAAACAGTTAGAATTTATGAAGTTCGCAAATAAATCTACTAAAGACTTAAGAAGAGCATCTCTTTAAACTATGTTAAATATGCACTTTTTTAGAATAATTAACTTAGCATCCTAACATGTGGATTCACAGTAAAAAAGTTATGACTCTATTTTTTATTAATTTATTCATACTCTATATTTTGTCTTATCCTATCTAATTATTTTTGATCCATTTAATCCTCTAATTTTCTCATTTGCAAACTCATACATAATAATACTTTAAAGAATATTTATATAATTATAAAATATTTGATATATTTACTTTTAACATTTTTATATATTAAATTTAAAATCCAAATATTAAACCATATTTTTTCTATCAGCACTAACTATCAATTATACATAAAATTTAACATAATTTGAAATCTACTTATAATTTTACACAATAATAAATCAAGATAAAAACCAATTTATGATTTTACAAATTTCATACTCATTAGATGATTACTTTAAAATACTCATAATTATTAATCCAAATGATGGATTTTTAACTTTTGTTGGTTCATATTTATTCATTGACCCCAAATTTCCTGAAATTTATATCAAATTTTATATGTATTTCTTATCACACTCATCTATTAAATATGAAATACTAAATATATTAAATGAAGGAGCATCATTTGTAATATTACAAACTTTACTAAATTATATTAACTCTTATCTCTCTGAAATAGTTTGAACACCTAAAGTGAATAATTTTATGAATGATGAATCTTATAAGAAAATAATTAATTTTAATCTAAGCATAATAGGAACCTTTGCACAAACTATTAAACTTCTAATTTTATTAAAAAAAAGTGGTTCAAAAAACTCTTAGGAATTAAGCAAAATTACATCATATTTTATCATAGTATTTGTAAGCCAAACTTCAAGAATATTAATTAAAATAAATAATAGTTACTAAGAATGTTTCCAATAATTATAACATAATACTGGATTACTATTTTGTTTAATACATTGAATCAATTACAAAAAGGAATTAGAATTATCTGTTACTATCTTACTACATTATGCTAAAGCTTTGTTAAATACCATTGCAACAATTTTTGATATTGATATTTCATTTGAAAGATTCTTGAAATTTAATAATGCTATTGTAGTCAAACATTTATCATATTATGTTTCAATCTCAATTTCTTGATTTTCATCATCCTCAGGGATTTGATATATCAATTATTAAGTAAATTTTAAGGAATTGACCCAAGAGTGAATACTTTCCGAAACTTGATCCTTTTTTGAAAAATAGAGTTTTAAACCTTACTCACAATTTAAGTGATGCCATAAATTAGAAATTACTTACTCTTACCAACTCAATTTTATTTATGGAATAGAACCAAAAGTTCTTTAATAGTTTTCAAATTACTAAAGAACTTTAAATGTAAGTTCCTAAACACAATCCTATGATATTGATATTGTATATATTTATGTTGAAGTTATTAATAAGCTACAAAACTAATCATAATTTCTATTAATAAATTAATTATTTTATTTACTTGGTTTTTGAAACTTAATCATCTTTATTTAAAATTTAAGAATCAGATTATAAAACTTCATTCATTTTTTTTTTAGTTATTTTAATTCCAAACTATTAATTATATTTAGAGAAATGAATTGCTTAATTTTAAATCTCTTTAATATTTAAAGTAGATGTTTCAGGGCAATTTAGGATATTGCTAAAATTAATAGGGTTATTAAATTCATCAATAACGTTTTGAAAATTCAATTAAATATTTTTGAATATACGATCCTAAAGTACTTTTTTAGAAAAAGAAATTATTTAGAATTAATCTGAAAAGGTTGAAAAAACTAAAGCAATAAATATTTTTGGTAATTCATGTATTTCAATAAATTTATAATGACAATCATCTTTTGGTAGATAATAATATTTTTTAACAAATTTAAGTTGTTTTAATTGATACTTAACAAATCGATATTCAGCTTTTTTTTCTTACAAAATTAAAATATTCTCATTTCCAACAAAATATATATGATTTATAGAATAATTTGGGTCTGTAAATCGATGTATTTATGGTTCCTATTCATTATCACTAAAAGTAATTAAATCATTTAATTCAGTGACTCCAACTATCATTTCTTTTTGATCTATTTCAATAGTTTAAAATGAAACTAGACTTTATCGAAGTGCAATAATTTAAGTGATTACCTTTTAATCAGGACTATAGAATAGGATTTACCCCTATTAAGAGATGAAGGCTATTTTTAGTTTAATCTTGTTCATAATGACAAAATCACTAAATCTCTTGATTTAATAAGCTTCTTTTAATTTCATGTTATTTGGTAAATAAGCTTCATTAATTTCAATAATTGAAAGAAGATTGTCCTGTTGTTTGTTTTATTGAAATAGATTAGAAAGTAATATTTCTATGTATTCACCTTCCATTGTTAGGATATGTACAGCAAAGGTTTGGAATTTCATAGAGATGATGGGATCTCTTTTCCATTTTAAAGTTTCTATTTAGACAGATAACTTATATTTGTCTTCTGCAATAATTATAAGATTTTCGTAGGATGTATATAATACAACATACCTAAAATGGATAGAATCTCCATAAGCATATTAATGAATTTATTCGGAAAGTTATTGAAATAATTTTTGTTATAACATATAAATAATGGCATTATTACATTATTTTAGTCATTTGATAATTGAATAGAATTACAAAAAGTTAATGTATTTCTGGCTAATGTAATCTTGAATTTCCATAAGACTATATTAAATAGAACTTTTGATAATTTTCTTATAAATCATGGAAAGTTATCCTTGAATATAGCATTGAGTAATTAAAATGAATTGTATACAATATATAAAAAAATGCTACCAAAAACTTAAACAAAAAAGAGATGGATAAGAAGAGTCTTATAGACTTTCAACTTAGGAATCAGAGGGTCAAAAAAAGAAAACATTAGTTCTAGATTTGGATGAAACCTTAGTGCACTGTGAATTCAAGGAAAATTAAAATTTCAATTATGAAACTATTTTAGATGTTTGGCATAGGGGAGTTCTATACAATGTGTATTTATGTAGAAGACCATTTTTGAGAGAATTTTTAAAACAAATGAGTGTGTTTTACGAGATCATAATATTTACTGCTGGTTATGAATCGTATTGTTATAAAGTTTTGTAATACATAGATGTGGATAAACATATAAGTGATTATTTTGCAAGATAAAATTGTATTTTTGTAAATGGAAACTGTTTGAAAGATCTTACGATTTTGGATCGTCCATTAGATTAATTAATATTTATAGATGTATTTGATATATATAGGAATGATAGAATAATCCAAATGCTTTTGAATTATAACCTGATAATGGATTATTGATTCCCTCATTTTTAGATTCAGATGAGGATGAATGTTTATTTAGATTGATTCCTTTTTTAAAATTCATGGCTAACAAATAATGTGTGAAACCAGTGAATAAATTCATGAAAGATTATGAATCTATTTATGGTTCATTATTCAGTGATTCTCATATCACACTATAATGTAATGTAGATGGAGAGGAAGGCAGTTTGAATGAAGAGAGCTGTATCATAGTTGAGAATGTTCCTAAACATCGTAAAACTTAGACTCTTATGAATGATAAATAGAAAAGAAATTAAGTTTAATAGCCTCGTAGTTAATCTCTCTTCTCAGGTTGAATTATTTTAAATTGTATATAATTTCAATTATAATGCGCCAAAAGACAATTGAAGAACAATATAAGAAGATGACTCATATTGAACATATACTTTAAAGGCCTGATACATATATAGGCAGTTTATAAAGAACTTCAGATCAAATGTGGATTATTCAAAATGGTAAAATGATTTAAAAAGAAATTGAATATGTGCCTGGGTTTTTTAAAATATTTGATGAAATTTTAGTGAACGCTGCTGATAATTTATAAAGAGATACTCATTTACATAAATAATCTTATATCAAAGTAGACATAGGAAATGAAATTACAATTAAAAATGATGGATTTCCTATTCCTGTTGAAATACATAAAGAATATTAAATATATGTACCAGAATTGATTTTTGGAGTGTTTCTAACAGGAAGCAACTTTGACGATACTGAAAAAAGAGTAGTTGGAGGAAGAAATGGATATGGAGCCAAATTAACAAATGTTTATTCTTCCGAATTTACGCTGGAAGTTTGTGATGGTAAAAATTATTTTAAATTGATTTGGAGTAATAATATGAGTAACAAACAGATACCAATAATAAAATAAATTAAAAAAGATCCTTATGTGAGTATTTCATACAAACCAGATTACAAGAGGTTTGGAATGAAAGAGATAGAAAATGATACTTAAGCATTATTAACCAGAAGAGTATATGATTTAGCTGGCATATATGGTAATAGAATCAGTGTATATTTGAATGATGAAAAGATTAAAATCAATTCATTCTAAAAATATGTAGATTTATATTTACCAAGTGAAGGAGCTATTAAAATATATGATAAAGAAATGACAACTCCAAGATGGGAAGTTGTTGTAAGTTATTCACCAACATAATTTTAACATGTATCTTTTGTTAATGCTATATGCACTGCAAAAGGAGGAACTCATGTAAATTATGTAACAGATAAAATTATATAAGATATTTAAAATGAAATGAATAATAATAAAAAGTACAAATCAATTGAAGTATAAAAATATCAAATAAAATAATCTCTTTGGGTATTTATTAATTGTTTAATTGATAATCCCACATTTGATTCTTAAACAAAAGAGAATATGACTACAAAGGTATCTGAATTTGGAGGCACAAGTGAAGAGAAATTTAAAGTAACCGATAAATTCTCTAAAGCTTTAATAAAAACAGATATCATAGAAACTATTTTTTAATAAGCAAAAGCTAAGGCTGACGCTAAATTAAATAAATAATTAAAAGGTACTAAGACAGGTAGAATTCATGGAATAGAGAAATTAGATGATGCAAATGATGCTGGTAAAAAGAATTCAGAATTTTGCACATTAATATTGACAGAAGGAGATTCAGCAAAAGCATTAGCTATGGCAGGTATTGATATTGTCGGAAGAGATAGATATGGTGTATTTCCTTTAAAGGGTAAGTTATTGAATGTAAGAGAAGCATCGTTAAAATAAATATTATAAAATGAAGAAATAGAAAATTTAATAAAAATACTTGGTTTATAAAAAGAAAGATAATATTAAGATTTAAAGTCTTTGAGATATGGTTCAGTAATGATTATGACAGATCAAGATATTGATGGATCACATATAAAAGGTTTGATTATCAATTTTATACATCATTTTTGGCCATCTTTAGTTAAATATAGAGGATTTCTTAAAGAGTTTGTAACTCCATTAATAAAGGCCACTAAGGGAAATTAAACGATTCCTTTTTTTACAGTTTAGGATTTCAATAAGTTTGCTTAGGAGGAAGATATTAAAACATGGAAGATTAAATATTACAAAGGTTTAGGTACATCAGATGATCAAGAGGCATAGGAGTATTTTAAGAATTTAAGAACACATACAATAATGTTTAGATATGATGGAGATGAAGATGATAATTCAATTGATTTATGTTTTAATAAAAAGAAAGCTAATGATAGAAAATAATGGTTAGCATAATACAATCATGATTTGTATGTGGATCATACAAAAAAAGAATTAGGTTATTCAGAATTTATACATAAAGAATTGATACATTTTTCGATGGCTGATAATATTAGATCTATTCCTTCAATTATGGATGGATTAAAACCAGGATAAAGAAAAGTGTTATTCTCTTGTTTTAAGAGAAATTTGAAATAAGAAATAAAAGTAGTATAATTAGGTGGTTATATAGCTGAACATTCGGCTTATCATCATGGAGATATATCATTAGTATCTACGATAATAGGAATGGCTTAGAATTTTGTTGGTTCTAATAATATAAATTTATTATTACCAAAAGGTTAGTTTGGTAGTAGAGCTATGGGAGGAAAAGATCATGCATCTGCAAGATATATTTCTACAGCACTTAATAAAATTACTAGACATATATTCCCAGAATAAGATGATCATTTATTAAAATATATGGAAGATGATGGATAAATGGTTGAACCAGAATATTATGTTCCTATTATACCTATGAGTTTAGTTAATGGAGCTGAAGGAATAGGAACTGGTTGGTCAACTTAAATTTAAAATTATAATCCTATTGAATTAGTTTAATAAATTAAAAATAGATTAGATGGTCAATAATTTTAACCTATGACTCCTTTTTATAAAAATTTTGATGGAATTATTGAAAATCTACCTAATGGGAATGGCATTATAAAAGGTTTAATTGATTGTAATGTAGATACAGATATTATCACTATTACAGAATTACCTGTTAAAAAGTGGACTAAAAATTATAAAGAATGGCTAGATAAGGAAATGGCTGAAGAAGGTAGTTCAATTGTAGATTTAAGAGAATATCATACTAAATATAAAATACATTTTGAAATATAAATGGTTGATGGATTTGTATAAGATTTAAGAAACCCATTAGAATATTTCAAATTAACAACACCAGCTTCATGTACTAATATGGTATTATTTGATTCAAACAATAAAATTAAAAAATATGAATCTGTACAAGAAATCTTAGAAGAGTTTTATTTAGTAAGATTATAATTTTATCATAAAAGAAAAGATTATCTTATTTCCAAGTTAGATAGGGAAGTCTAACTATTAGATAATAAATTAAAATTCATCAAAATGGTTATTACTGAAGAAATTAAAATAAGAAACATTAAAAAAATTGATTTAGTTAAATAATTAGATAAATTTGGATTTACTCGCTTTTCATAATTAATTTAAGTTAAATCAACTAAAATTAAAGCATTTGGTGATTCTTAGAAATAATAAAAAAATGTAGATGAAGATGAAAGTGAAGAAGTTTCAGGAGATGAAGATAAAGAATAGAAAAAATAAATTTCTAAAAAGTTATAATCAACACCATCTATTGATATAAGTGAATTCAATTATTTATTATCGATGCCATTATTTTCACTCACATTTGAAAAAGTTGAAAAATTACAAGCTGAATTAAATTAAAGAGTTTAAAGTAGAGAAGCATTGATAAATAAAGAAGTTGCATTAATGTGGAGAGAAGATTTAGATAAGTTTTTAGAAATTTATGAAGAAATGAATGAAATTGAATTGAGATTAATAAATTAGTAAGAGAAAATGCCTGGAAAATAAATGAAAAAACCTAAAAAGAAAAATGATAAATAGGATCAAATAATTGAAGAGAAAGTATAAAAATCAAAAGCCATTAAGAGTAAAGATCCAGTAGAAGAAATATTATCAAAATATAAGAAATAGGATGATAAATAAAGCGAAATTAGTTCCAAACCAAGTTAATTCAATTTAAAATAATAAAAATAAGGTTCAAAAGAATCAAACATATTAGAAGATAATCCAAAATAGATATCTTAATAAGTCTAAGGTAGAAGAATTAGAAAATTAAAAGTAGAAAGTAGTTCAGATGATGAATGGAGAGAAAAGTGATTGATCCTTATTAAATATATATAAAAATACTTATTAAAGGATTAAAAGTTTTGATATTATAACTAATTTTTCATGATATCCTAGAAAAGAACATCATCAAGAATATTAAAATTTAACTAATGGGATCTTAACCGTTATGATGCATACTTTAAGATTATATAAAATTCAAGTATTATTTATACAGAGTCGTTAACATCTGATTTGAGTCTAAAACAAATGAAAATACAAAATAATATTTATTAATTCTATGATATAAAACTCCTTATATTATGAGATCATAAAGACAATTTTAAAGGATTATAATTTATTAGAGTCAAATACTCTATATAGGCAGAAGGTCTTCAACATTGATTTATTAGCATGATTTTGATCATTTAAATGAAATTAATTTCCTGTAAACAGCATCTTATGTTAAAGAGAATGAATAATAGTGTTAATATTCACAACATTTTTGTAAATAATTATAAAATATAAAAAAATGGAAGACTTGGTAAATCAAAATCGTTCGCATTTAAGTGCCTAAGAATCTTTAAAAAAATTGTATGAATATTCTTAGTAAGATTTCAAAATATTTCTAGCATATAAGATGCAAAATAGAGATCTTATCACTTAAGATTGTAAAGAGCTAATGCATTTACTTTTGGTACTATTGCATCAATAGCTGTATTTTATGTTGGATATGTATGTATAATCATTATATAAAAAAAGAATTTGATTGAAGGAGTCTGGGCTAATTTATCAACTACAAATTAAATCACTAATTTGTTTAGAATTGCTTAAAATCCAGTTAGATCAGTCTATAGACCTGAAATCTATTTGCGAGATTAAAATGCAGATCAAATTATAGCTTAAAAAACTTAAGAATAGAATAATCCATTAAAATTATGGCATTGAGAAATAAATCATATATACAATCATTAAAAAATATTTATAAATGTCCTCATTATTTCGAATTACTTCTAATAATATTTCGTTATTTGGAGAATGTTCCCTAAATATAAATCAATTTACTTTCTTTCGTTTACTATCTTTTAATAAAAGAAATAGTTTTTTTTCCATAACCTCCTCTTCTTTAAATTATAGATTAATATTATGACAATAAAAAAAATATCTAAATAGATTAGGAAAAGTAATAAGAAACTTTGATTAATAAAAAATACAAAATATGAACCTTAGTTATATATCAATAGAAATCCTTAAAAAGATCTCCGAGAAAGAAAAATAAATAGATTTTAAACAAAGAGAACTGGTTATTTTACATCTTTATTATTTTAATCCTACTGTAAAATCTATATCTGTCTATATCTATTGGTATCAAATACATTAAGAAAACACTTATATTGTAATTATTATTTACAATACTTGGAAAGCATTAGGAGAACTTTACAAAAGCTAGAAATTTCCAAACAAATCCTTTAAAAAAGTGTGAGGCTGATCTAAATGATAGATATCAAAAAAAATGGATAAACTTTAGAATTTTTTAATATTATTAACAATGAATCCAAAACTAATACATAAGTAAATACTTTTACAAACCCCCTAAAAATCTAGAATTATGAAAATGAATAGAAGCCCAATCCTAATTGCACATTCTCTTGAACTTATCTCAGTATATCGAAATAATTAAGAATTAAAGTTAAAGTATAATCAATAAAATATTATATTTAAGAAATTTTATGCTTCTAATTTTACTTTATATTTGAAATTCTTACTCATAATTTCAATTGATTTCAACTTACTTCTGATTGTATTAAAAAGCTTGAAACATTTATTTAAAATTTTTATCATATAGGCTTAGAATGAACTCTTTTTATAATCAGTTTTCTAAAATTTGATTTAAAATCATTATTTTTGAAATTTAGCTTATTTGCAAAATCTAGAATCTTCTAAATTGTCAATTTTTCTCTCTAAATTTTCTCATAATCAAATTAAACTTGTAAATCTTACTTTTCCATTTTAATTCTTATTTCTCTGTTTTAAAAGCTAAGACTGTAAGAATTTATCTTTAAAAAAATTTTATATTTCAATAAACCTATTAACTAATTTATTTGACCATAAATCAGCAATATTCATAACTCTCCTAAAGAATAAGAATTTAAGATTTATCTTAATAATTCTTTAATGTAAATATTTTTTTGACTTTCATCTGCTTTTAATCCAAATATGAGAAATGTAAATTAGTTTTCTTATAATATTTAATTTAAACTTTTCAATGGAAATTTTTTATCAATTTTTATTTAATTTAATGAAAATTTTCTCTATTAAGAATTACTCAAATTAAATCCATTCATTAACTTAATTTTATTATTATTACAAATAAATTTATTCAGAATTATATTAATTATAAATATCTTTAAACTTTATAAAATGTAAAGACATTTTAATTAAAACTGACTCAATAAAATACATAATGTGAGAATCTAAAAATATTAAATGTATATTGAAGAGAATATAATTGTTTATATTTCAAAAAAGATTGTTAAGAACAAGACATTTAATAATTTTTAAAAATAAAATATTTTCTATTTATTATTTTGAAGAATAGAACTATAATTAATAATTAATAAATAAAGTTATGTTATATGATCACTAGTCTTTGAATTATTAGTAGAATGGACTTAAACTTTAGTAACTATCAAGGCTTTCTTAGCTCCTTAAGGCTAATGGTGAATATGCTAAAATATTGTTATTTAATACCTTAATCATTGTATACAGGACTAAAAGTACCCAACTAAGTAGGTAATTTTAAGTTCCAGGTCATTTAATTTTACATCATTTTTAAAAGTGGAGATAGTGATTCAACTGGTTAATATTCCTATTTTTGTTTACACTAAATTTAATTTAACATTTCGATAGAGTCCTAATTATTCATTCCTTATTGTTATATAATAAAGCTAAGCAAATAACTAATTCTATCAATTTTAACATCTAATGTTTTTTTAGAGTTACTGAGTTCTTACCATATTTGCTTATGTTAATCCATAATTTATTCATTTTATGAGATTATTTCTTAAAACTATGTTTCAAATTTAGTTTGTCTTTATTTTAAAAATAATAATTCTGAATCCATTTATTTTTAAAAATCATATTATTTGCCAGCTGACTTCAATTCTTTTTTAACTTTGCATTTGGTTTTAATAGGATTACGCTTAATCAATGACAATTATTTCCTAAAACATTAATATTATATTACTTATTGCCTCTTTTAAAGAAAGGATGACTAAATATCTCATAATTTTCTGAATTTCTGGCTTTGATAAATTCATACATATTAAGTTATCTAAGAAAGGATTAATAATGATTGTGTTTAAAGTATTGCAATAAGATTTCATTCTCCATCAGTTTAGGTTATAATACAATAAAATATTCTCCATCATCGCTCCATTTGATAATCTAGTTAAACTGAACCTACTTCTCATATAAAGATATTATTTCTACTTATTCATCCAAAATATCATAAAGCTTAATTATAAAAGCTGGAGTAGAAAATGGGCCAGATTATGTTGTCATAAAAATTATATTTTAATTAATTTTTTTTTATGCAAAAAATGGAAATTTATATTATTTTTTTGAGTAATTTCATTAATTTTAATTTAAATCTTATATATTAAGTAATTTTTATTGAAGTTAGTGAAAAATGTAAAATTTAGAATATCAATTTACAATATTAAAATCTAGAATGTAGGGTTAAACTTATATATCATCATGTCCTTATACTAAAATATTAATTGTAGAAATACTTCGATATTTTTTTTAAGTAGCTGTTGTAGGTTATTAAGGAGTTTAAATTAATTATTTTTAAGGTGAAGGTTAAATTCCTAAAATTTAATGAGGAGATTGATTTTTAGATTAATCACCTTTTAGATTCTGAGATGTGTTGCATCGAAGTATTATTTAAGGGACACCAAAACAAGATAATTAATTAGACAAAGGTGAGTTACATTAATTTGATTTAATTTCATCTGAAAATGGCATTTGATTTTCTTATTTAGAAAGTCTTGCACTTAATTTATATGGATCATATTTTCTTTCTTGACTGTTGAAAAATATTGGTTCTTTTAATCTGTTTAAAATCATCTTCTAGATTTAAAGAAAATCAGGTCTTTTATCAATGTTTTCATCTATCATTTTTGCAACCAATTAAAGCAATTATAATGTAAATTTTTTATGTAAATTTTTTATTTAAGAAATAAAATTTAATTAATTTGCTAAAGTATTTAACAAAGCTTACTTTTTTTAGTTAAAAGCTCTATCGCAAGAATTCCTAAGTCATGTACATCTTATTTTATTGCTTGACTGTTTGGTTTCTGTCCAATTTTATCTAATAACTTGATTTGAAAATTATCAGTTATGAAAATTGATTCTGAATTGATATTTCCATGATATCTATTTTTTCTTTACAAATAAACCATAACATCTACAATTTACTCAATTATCTATGAAATTTTTTAATTTTATTACTTTCCATATTTACACTTCAACCAAATTGGTAGTTTAAATGAATTCTTTTATAGTTTTTTGATGATATGCAAAAAAGAATTACTATGATTAAACCATACCAATATTAAGGGCTTAGGAACTTGTACAGGCAAAATACTCTATTAGATTAGGATGGTTAAGAGAACTACGAAAATTATGTATTTCAATTATTGATGAATCTTTTTCATATATATGTACATGCTAAATAGTAATTTAGAATTTTACAAATGAAAATAACATAGGTTGATTAATTTCTTTTATTTTCCAAAGCTAAATTTAACCTAAACCTGGATGAAGAAGCATTCCTTAATCAATCAGTTATTCACTTAGATCTTATGCAAAGTTCAAAGGTGCATGATAATTTATCAGAGAGTGATGATTTCCCATTTTTATTAAAATTATAACAAATAAAATTTATTTACATTGATAAATAAATCATTTTCTTTTTTTATTGGCATTCTATTCAATTCTAAATATCGGAACATACTATAAAATAAAAAATCTAAATTTACTTTAGTTATAGCATAAATAAATACTAACCATGTACCTACTCCTAGAATGAGATATAAATCAATAAATGCTGAATAAAATTTAATAATTTGTCCTTTTAACTGAGATGATGTAAAGAATTTTCTATCCTTTACCACATATTACATTTTGGTTGTATGTTTAAATAATTATCTTAATAACTATTTTTAAGTTAAAATTATTACAGAATTAAAATCATTCATGAATTTGGAGTCCTTTTAAAGGTTTGTTGGATGTCTGTTAGGAGTATTGATGAATTAATTTAAAGCTTAATCAAACAATAAATCCTAATGCTATTATTCATATGGTTTGCCATCAATCAATTAGCTAACTAAATTCATAACAATTTATTCGTTATCTTGCACTTTTGTAAAATTTTATTATTGAGTCAATATTTTGAGTTATTTTTAAGTATATATTCTGATTGTATCAATCTCTTTATTTTAAATAGTAGTAGTTTCAATCTCTTTGAGAGCTACATTAATTTAAGTTAAATTAGTTTAAATTTAAGCTAAAAGAGCAGAATTAACTTCAATGTGTAGTTATTCATCTTAGTTTATTTAGTCAAAGATTATAATAGTATCTATAGTTGATAGGATTCTTTGGTATTCTTATTTTTTATAGAATTACTTAAGTCCATATTCATTTAAGGATTGAGAGGTTGATATATAAAATATTATGTTACGACTAAAAAAATGAATTATTTATTACCTCAATCTTTATTAATATTTAAATTCTCTAGCAATCTTAAAAAAGATGGATGATTATATTCCAAACCTTTCAATTGGGATTGTTATTTCAGCGGATGGTAAATTTTCATCAATTCCTAATACAATAAGAGTGGAAGGATTGTTTTACTTAAAGTTAGATATACTTTCTATTAAGTTCTAATATTTAGATTTTAAATTTACATAAGAATCCTCCAATGTAAGTATTTGTTTTTGATCCACACTTGTTACTTATAATTAATATTCCTAATCTGTTTCACTTTAAATTTCTTAATAGTGATTTTTTATATTCTCAGATTCATAAGTAAAATAAATAGGTATGGTTGCTCCCTTAGGACCTAAATTCAATCAATGTTATACCCAAATTAGTTGTGATTAAGTCCCAAATTTAATATTCATTATCTCCAGAGATTTAATCTAGAATTATCAAAACACCATTAGGTTTGTTTGTAAGTAATTCAGACATTGAATTAGCATTTATTTCTGAAAATTTAATTAATGCCACTTTTCTTAATGACACTTCTGACCAGTGAGTTGTGAGCATTTAGAAAGAAGCTATCTTACTTCCACTCCAAAATTGATCTTATTCTATGCCTACCATTCTATAAACATCCAATTCAAATGCATTTATTACATTTAATGTAATTAGGAAGATAGCCAATAAATTATTCATTAATTTATTTATTTTTACTACAATGTTAAACATTAATAATAATTTATTCAAAAATATTCAAAGAATTTAATTGTTTAATATTCAATTTAGACTTAACAATCATCATTCATTTTTCAAAAATAATTAAATAAACAAAATTATATTTATCACAACTCTATATTTAAATAATTGTAAATTATTATCATCGTAAGATTTATTAAAATAAATCAAATTAGATTAATCATTCTTTTTATTTTTGAACTAATGTTTTTAATTCCACAGAGCTATATTTCTAAATCTTGCATATATAAAATGTAACTAAAATTTTTATCATGAAAACTTTTATTAAAAGAAGTAAATTTTTTTCTTAATTTGTAAAAACCTCTATTAATCATTATTTTTCAAAAAATTTTTAAAGATTTTGAATATAATATAGATTAAATTGAATGTTCATAATGATGAAATCAATTATTAAATAATTTTTCTTTTATTAATTCCTTATAGTAAACTAAACTTTAAGAATCTTTCATATATTAAGAATGCGATCTTTTAGTAGTGATGAGATTCATAATATAATACTCTTAAATTCTTCATTCCATTATTTTAGAGTAATATTTAATCTTATTTCTGTAACAACACATTATACAAGAGCTTCATTTTATTATTTATTGTCAAATTAATTTTATTGATGAAAAAGGGAAACATCTTTTAATTAATATTACAATTCATTTTTTCATGTAATTTATCTATTCTATAGTCATTTTTTTTTTAAAGTAGTTTTTTTCAAATTCCTTTATGAGTATAAAATCATTTCCTTTAAGTGTTATATATGGTTTGATGTGCAGATAAATAACTTATTATTTTGGATTTTAAAGAATAAGTGAGCTCATTAAATTACGTTAAATTATATTAATAAAAATTAGTATATTAGAGAATAATATTGTTCGATTAAATTTATTAGAAAATCTTATTTAAAAATGGGTTGTGGTTAATCATCTGCATCATTTTTTGAGTCCAGAGGCTTAATTTACATTTATTATGGTACTACTTCTGGAAACTCAAGTCGATTGGCCTTTACATTTGCTAGTCAAACTAGAAAATTGAACTTTCTTCCTAAGGGTATAGATGTTATATATAATTTAGTAATTAATCTTAGTGAATTTGAACCTGATCAAATAAATTCATAAAAGCTAGCAGTCTTTTTTGTCTCGACTTATGGAGTTGGATCTTGCAGTTCTGATGCTTAAAAATTTAATTCTTGGATTTTTTCAAATGAGAGAAAAAATGATGAATTCAAAAGTATGTCTTATATAGTATTTGCGCTTGGGAATACAAATCATGAAAATTTTTGTTAATTTGGAATAAAATTAGATAAAAGATTAGAAGAACTCGGTGCTAAAAGACTATTTGTATTAGGAAAAGGAAATGCAGCTGAAAATACTACAGAAAATGATTATCATAATTGGATAAATACAGGAGTAGAATAAACTCTAATTTAAAACTATCCAGCTTAAGTTTGTGATCCTAAAAAGTTTGAGTAATCAATTCTAAAGATAAAACTTACAAATGAACCAGAAAATGAAAACTATGATAATTTGGATTATTTAGCATAAAAATATAAAACTAGCATTACATTTATAATAAATGAAATAAAAGAACTAAAAAAGAAACCAACTTTAGGTAATTCTACTTTATTTATTGATCTCGTTGCTGATAATTTACAATATGTAACTGCCAGTAATATTGCTATCTATCCATAAAACTCAGAGTATAATTTATCTAATATATTTAGTTAAGATATAAATGAATTATGTAACTAACTTAGATTTGATTAAAATTAAAAGTTTGAAATACTTACTACATCTAAGCATCCTTTTCCTAATCCAATTTCTATTTATAATTACTTAAAAAAGTATTGAATTGTATTTATAAAATTAGATATTGTGACTTTACTGGTTTGATCACAAAGAAATAAATAATGGAATTATCTAATCTATCTGTTAATAAATTACATAAAGAAGAATTACTGAAGGCTGCTTCATTTGAAGGTAGAGATTTCTATGAAGAAAATTTTCAAAAAAAAAGAGAAAATTTACTTACTGTTATAAAAAAATACAATATACGCAATTTATCCATAGAATAATTATTAGAAATCTGTCCTTTAATAACTCCTAGATTCTTTACAATTGCATCAAGTAACTTGAAATATCCAAAAAATATACATATTTTAGCAAGTTAATTAATTTTGTATTAGAAAAGACTTGGACTTTGTAGTTAATACTTTTAAAATTTAAAATAAGGATCTATTTTAAAAGGATATCTTTGTGATTCTAAATTTACATTCCCTAAAAATCCTAAAGTTCCAGTTTTATTAATAGGACCTGGAGCAGGATTAGCTCCAATGAGAGCATTAATTTAGGAAAGAGATTATTATTTAGAATAAAATAATTTAGAATAATCTCCTTTTTAAGGAAATATGGAATTACTCTTTGGATGTAGAACTGAAGATGAATATTTTTTTTAGGAAGAATTAAACTAGTATGAAAAGAATGGCACCTTAAGTAATTTAAAAGTTGCTTTTTCAAGAAAGGCTATAAAATAATATGTTACAGATATTATGGATCTTAATTAAATACATTCTCATATAACTATGGAAGGAATTATCTATATTTGTGGATCTTCATAAATGGGTAGAGACATAACTAACAAAATACAAGATATGTATAAGTAAATAGAAAATATTGCACCTTATATGGCATTTAAAAAAATATATGAATTAGAATAGAAATAATAACTAATAACAGAATTATGGGGATGATATTGATATATCTTATAAGAACAAAATATTATAAATATATCTATCCGATTCTTAATCTTTTCTTCTTAAATTTTTTATCTACCTAACCAATTTTTTCTTTTCTTTTTCTAAATAAATTTAGATAAGATTAATTAATCATTAATTTCTAAAATTTCTTGTTGTTACTAAAGATAACTTTATTACATAAAATTTATCAATTTAATAATCAAAATAAAACAAGTATGATTAAATAATATTTTGACATAACTATTTTGGTCAAAAAATGGAATAAGAAAATGATCAGAAATCTTTGTCCCAATTAGGATCTTTGGCTAATTCCTTTCTATACTTTTGTTTTTGCATTGATTATTCTTATTTGATTTCTTAAACAACTGGTTTACCTTATTAAAATCTCTTTTCAATATCATGTTCTGAAATCAATCTATCTTTAGGTGGAACATACTAGGGATTAAGAAATTAATAAATACTGGAACTTTTTGTAATTCTCTGCTAAATAATTTATCAAAATCAAAATCATCAAACCATGGATTAGCTTTTAAAGCAGAAAATGATGATCCTAATCTAGTTTCTGGTTATTTACTAAGTAATTATTCCATAAATTTTTTAGCTTATCGATCTCTAATAAAAGTAGGGAATTTTAATTAGGTATTCATAATTTCTTCATAAATTTCATATGGATCCTAAATTAAATAACAATGATCTTACATCTTATTCTTCAGCATAAGGTACTCCTCCACACATAAATTCATACATACATATACCCATACTCCATAAATCAACATTAAATGAATATCCTTTTCCTAAAATGATTTCTGGAGCCATATAATGGGGAGTACCAATAATAGTGTAAGTTCTAAATGCTCTTTATTTATTTAATGGTTTTGCAGTTCCCAAATCAATAAGATACATATAACCTGCATCATTTACCATAATGTTTTCAGGTTTTAAATCTCGATAGACAATAGATTTAGAATGTAAATATTCTAATGCTAAAATCATAGTAGCAACATAAAATTATGTATCATATTTAGTTAATAAGCCCATATCTCTAATTACCTTACAAAATTATATCTAAATATTTACATCAAATAATTCCATTCCTCTAATATAATCCACCAGAAAATAAATAGATATATCATCCTTGAATGTTCTTATGAAACCCATAATGAAAGGAAAATTGCATTGTTCCAACACAGTCTTTTCTTGAACTATATGTTTTTCTAAATTTTATTCAATAATTGATGCTTTGCTTACAGATTTAAGAGCAAAAACCTTGTTTATAGATTTGTGTTTAACTAAATATACCATACCAAATTATCCTTCGCCTAATTTTTTTATATAAATTAAATCTTCAACCGAGATATGAGATGCATCTGCTCTCTCTCCTAATTATTTGATTTTCTTTTCATGAGAATTTTCATTTTTCTTTAATGCAGTTTCTAAATCTCCCCCAAATATCTTAAAGAGAGATTAATATGAAATTGTAGCTAAAACACCATCTCTAACCATTTCATATTAAGATTCAATTATTTATCCATATTTTTCTTTCATTAAAAATTAATCTCCAAAACATAATCCTTTAGGAACTGAATCTTATTTAGCATTAGTTATTACTCCTTCTAAAACCACAATTAATTTATCACATGCCTTTCCAGCCTCTAATATTACTTAACCTTTTTTATAATTATCAATTTTAGCTCTTTAAGCTATTTTTTCCAATTAAATTTTTGATAATTATTTTAAAACTTCACTTTTTTCAAAACTCCATCTCATAATATTACTAAAAATGATTATTTAAACTTTATCTCCTAATATCTTTGTTAGATTTTCTCTACCTAAAGCAACACATTTTACTTCTGTTTCAGCAACACAAGTAGCTCCTCTTTTAGATTTTTCATATAATGCTTATTCTCTAATTATATTATACATATATTAATTACCCAAAACTATCTTTTGCACCCATTTTTCTAATCTCTTTTGTTCCTTTTAATACTGAAACCTCTCCACTTTTAATTACATAAAATGAATCTGCTTAATCTCCTTCATTAACAATTGATTATCCTGGAGCAAATTTTGTTGTTATTAAAGCATGAGCAATTGAATCTTTTTAATCTGATGTCATAAATGAAAAAAATGGAACCTATTTTATTAAGATTAAATACTTCATCTATAAATTTTCTATTTTCATCATATTCTTTCAACATTAACTCCTCTATTGTTTTTTTAAAAGTACTTCGATCCAAAGACCAAAATCCACAATCTGTTAGTGTTCTTATAGAAGCAGATCGTGTTGCATTGTATAGAAGTGCAATTTCACCGAAATAACTGCCTTCTCCCAATGTACGAATTTATTTATCATTTATAATTATTTCTACAGATCCTCTTTCTATAACAAAATAGGAACTTGCCTAATTATTAGAGATCAATAAAATACTTAGTCTCCTTATTTAAAAATAAATTAATTAGATTTTAAAGTGCAATAAAACATATGTTCTATTAATTAAGCTATTTAATCTTCTGGCAAACTAAAAAATACGAAATGACCTTTGAAGCTTTTTCTTATTAATTCAATATCAGATTCTACGATATAGATATTTAGTACATTGCATTTCTCTATCAATTCTTGTAACGTTTTCATGGATTTAATGGTTAACATCATCCCCACCTCTGTATTTTTTTTGTTATTTTTTTTATGCTCTAACCACTTCTTCAGGTGGTGGCTAATTAGGAGCTTGTTAAGAATCCCTAAATATTATCTTTCTATACATTTTTAATTATTCCTCATTGTCTATTGTTTATTTGTGCTTAGACTCAGGTTAGACTAATAACTATTATTTATTATCATTCTAATACTTTTGGAATCTTTTTTCCAATTAGATCTTCTATTTCTGATGTTGAAGCCGTCTTAATTGAAGCTCTACTCTATCTTTAATCTGGTTCTGCTGTTTATTGAGAAGAATTTGAAGAACCACAACCCATATATTTATATTAATTTAAATATAATTATATTCAGTATTTCTATGTCAATATTAATATTCAACTTAAACTTAGAATTAATTGATCTTGCATCTTTAACTCACAATTAATAACGTTCATCAATTATTTTAAATTACCATGTTTTATTAATTATCGGTTTTACTTTTTCAATTTTATTATTATAATATAATACAATATTAAACATAATTTTCAATTAATTTATAAATTACATTTATATTCTTTAAACTTTCTAATATCAACACTTTTTAACTAATTTTTCCACTCTCTTTTATTTCAGATTGATATAAAATATAAATTGATATTTATTTTAATAAGTAATTTAGTTGTAATAACTATTTATCTATTTATTTAAGTCATTTTGTCTATTATAACATTTCTCCTTAAATTCTCTTAATTTCTTTTTTAAGACACTTTTTTTAGATTTTCAAATTTTAATCCATCTAGCAAATAATATTTTAAAAATTTTCGAAGCTCATTTTTTCTATTTTTTATTCCTTGAAAAGTATTCCTAATACTTAATTCTGCAGAATTCTATAATAATTTATTATTTCTAATGAATATTTTTCACATTAATGATCTAATTCATTTTCAGCTAAAATTTCATTTAAATAATAATTAAAAAATATTGCACTAAAGAATTTAAATAATTTATTACATTTTCTCAAATTTTAAAAAATTCTTTAACCTCTGCAAGTTTTTTTTATAAACAAATATTTAACCACTTATTTCATCTTAATCATCATAAACATCCTTTATTTATTAACATAGTAACTTTTAGTAATATTCTAATTCTGAAAGAACCTTAGTAATTGAAGATTCCTTCTTAGACATTTAAATAAATAATTTAGAAGGATTTTTATTATAATCTTAAAAAGGGCAATTGTAAAAGTCTGTACCATGTTCTTAATTCCAAGCCAATGAACATTTGGTACAAAAATCATTACCACATACACATTAAATTTATATACAACCTTAACTTTTTTGTATATACCTATTACAATTAGGACATTGAGAAATATCTAGTTTGATCCATGATTACATAGGTTCCTTATACTCTGTAATTTTTTTAAATATTTGACAAGAAATTGGATAATGACTTTCTATTTTACAATGAGAACAAAACTTTACACCACATTTACATTCATATTCCTATGAAGTTTGATAAACCTTATATATATTTGGACAATCAATTCCTAAAAAAATAATTATACTTCTTTTTACCAGGACACCATGTATAACTTTTATCGTTTTCTAACATTCTCTTCACTAATATATCCTTATAAGATTAGTTTAATTCCAAAAATTAATGAGGCAATCTTTCTAAACATTAATTTTGTAAGCATTTCACAATAGGTATATAGTTTGATAATTAAATCTCTATCATTTAACTCCAGCAATCCTTGCAAAATATATGTGAACATTTTAAACTATAACATTCTATATTTTCTGAAGAACATAATAAGCAAATTTCTTTCAAATGGTAATTTAAAGGAGATTATCTATATATCCCAATTAATTATAGATTTTCTTTGTATTCTATATTTTCATTTATCTATTGTAAACAAAAGTTAATTTCTTCCTTCTTAAAATTACAATATAAATTTATCTAAGACATAAATTATCTTTTTACATTCAGAATAATTTGTAAATTTTATGTTGAATTATTTTATTGAATTTTAAGATTATCTTGAAACTCTTAGTATAGCTCCCCTTAATTCAATAACTTTAACAATCCATTCCTTTTCTTTGTTAAATTCCTTTTAATTTTGAGTTAAAAATTTACATACTCATGTTGCTATTTTATTCTTCTTCTTGATATGAAGTAAATTAATATTCGCGTTCACATTCTAATTATTAATTTTTATCATAGAGAGGGGAAAATTTCTCATAATTTATTTCCTCAATTGTTGAAGCTTTCTTACAAGATTATCCCATATTATAATTATTTATTTATTTTATATTTGTTTAATATTACTATTTCATTTTTAAACATAAATAATAAATTTAAAAGTTCTAAGGTATGAATGAATACTGTTTTAAGTTATAATAATATAGATAAAAGAAAAAATAATAAAAAAATATAAAATAAAATTAAGAAAATGATTTGGTTATTTATTTTCTCAATTATTATGTAATAAATTTTAATAACTTGAAGATGAGGAAAAATAAAGATCACTTCATTTAGAAAGGATATATTAAATAAAATTGTTTTATATGATCGATCTTTTTTCATGACTAAAATGATCTTGATATCATTTTAAATATATTTTAGGGATTATGAATTTTAATTGAATTTTTGATGATTCTAAATCAAATGATGGACTTTTTAAAGTCTATTGATATGTATGATTAAGATTAGGCCGAGTTAAATATCATGGTCACAAATTAAGCTGCAGAATTAGGACATTAAGTTTTAGCACAACCTAAAAGTTTTCCTGATGCATAACTCTTATTCAAACATGTCTCAAATTGTTCGTAGGAATTATCTTCAGCAATGTGTGACTTTAGATCTTTTAAACAAGTGGTTAATTGTTTGGCACTATATCACTGATATCTCAATTTAATACCATTCACTTGACTCCATACATTCCATTGCTGTACCCTTACACATAGCAGGATTACATTATCTTATATTGAGACAATTAGATATAGTAATTATGAAAGCTATCATAACTAGACTTTTCATCTTTTTTATTAAAACGAATATATATTATTTATATTTAAATAATACTTTTATACAAAAATCTTAGGGTTCATTGAATTTTGCCATTATCATTTTTTAACATATTACCTAAATCTCTTATTATTTTCATTTTATATTTCTGCCAACACCTAATTCAACTATTTTTAGTTATTTCTTTTACAGAAAGGTACCTTAACAGACCATTAAATCTAATTATTCAATTAATTAATATATTAACTAATCAATTTTGATCTAATGGTAACATAGTTTTTATTCTTCAATTTTTATTTTTGATATTTTTCTATTTCTGAATAAAAATCAAACACTGAATAAATTTGCTTTTATTGTTATCTATGTTTGGTCATTCATGAAAAAATGATTATTAAATGTAATATTTGATAATAGAAATTTATAAAAAATCTAAAATAGAAAGTCATTGTTAAAAATATGTGGCAGTTCTTTATTTATACAATCGATGATGCTATTTAAAATTTTAATAATGGGAAACGTTGGCTTGGAAATCAATAAAGGATTCTCTAGTTTTGTATAAGAAATCATTAATTTTTTATCTAATAGTATTGTCTTTAGGTGATTCAATAGTATGCAGACTACATCTTTTTTGGAACATGTTTTATATTTAAACTTTAGTTTATGGAAGTGTTATAGGAGCAGGATATGAAGTTTTTGACATTTTTAGATTATGTTTTACTTCATGATATTAACCTAAGATTTCTTGTTCTTACAATTTGACTAAACTTAGTTGAATATGATTATAAGCACTGTTTTCATCAGCATCATCTTTAAGCATATCATATTTATCAGAGATCATTTATACCAATTAGGATTCTGATCTGATTTATTTTCTTTTAATTGGTTTAGATAATAATTCTTTAGCTTTAACAATTAATTAGTCTTCTTCTTCTTCTTAACATTATTCTGGTTTATAAAATACTATTCTTGATTAAGATAATCTTTTCTTTTCAAAAGCAGGTATTGTGCTTTTTTTCTTATTTAAACCAAGATGAGAAACAATGTTTAGTATTCTTTTATGTCTCTCAATATTATTATTATTAGACATAATATATTTTAATTCGTTTTATGAGAGTAATCAGTGTATTTTTGATAGCAATGATAGGATAATCTTAATTATTAGAGAAGTATCAAATAATAGGAAATCCGAAACCAAGTTTGGTAAGTATTTTAACTGAATTGTAAACTTAAATAAAATCAGGTGGAGCATAAACAACAACAATAGCATTTTTAGATAATCTAAAATCAACAATAGATGAAGAATAAATAAGACATGATTAATTGTATACTTAATAGCGAAATTAATGTTCATTAGAATTAGAATTAAGAAAAAAAGATATAAAAGATGCTGAATAGGTTAGTTCTAGAGCAAATGAATAATTGGAAAATTGTTCAACTTCAAATAATAAAGCAAGATCAGAATTAGATAATAATTTAGAATCTTAAAAAGTACTTTTGTAAATTCTAAATAGACTACAGATAGTGATATTAAAATATTGAAAGGAATTCGAGATGAAGCAGCAAGATTATTTGCAAATAAAAAGAGAGATCATTTAGATGCTTTAACATCACTTTAGTAAGTATTGTTAACATTGGATGGATTTACAGGAGGAGATTGTTCTTTAGCAGAATTAGGAAAAGTAGCAATGACTTTTATTTAAACAGCAGTAATAGCAAAGAATGAGGAACCTTTGGTAGATATATCTGAGATATTTGCATAAGTAGCAACTGAAAATGGAGGATATAGAGAAGTTTATGAAAAACTGAAATAACTAATAGTAAATTTTGAATAAACTTTATAAAAAAATTTATAAGATTATTAAGATGTTGAAGATTTATAAATATAGGAATATGATGATCGTAATATTCATTTGGTTGAATATTTTAATAATTTAAAAAGAACAGAATAATAATTGAGAGATCATATAACAGCAATGAGTATGTGTATAAATTAATAGACTGCAATAGTAGATACAGCAAGAGGAAAGAAGGTATGATTCATTTATTGAATTATTATAGGTGAGAAATTTATAGATGTTAGATTCAGTTGATAAAATGTGTAAAGACTTTCTTATGGAGTATGATAAGGCTAGTCAAGTAAGAAAAGATTAAATTGATTTAATAAATCAAGTAAAATAATCAGTTTATGATTTCTATTCTTAAAAACCATAAGCAGCATGTCCAGGAGGAGGTAGTGATTGATTATTTTATAATAATATAATTTTTACATTTTTTAAAGGAAATATAGATTGAATGAATATATATTTTAATGTTCTTTATTAATTTGTATTTGATAAGATGATTGAAAATGTTGAAAATAATTATTTAAAATTAATATAATTTGATCTATGAATAAAATTAGAATACTTAAGTAAATATCTTAATAATCATATTATCATATATTTAATTAAATTTACTAATGGGAAACTAAAATGGGCAAGGATTTGATCATTCAAAATAGAGTGGTTTGTACATTCGTACAGAGAAACCATTTTATTTTGCAGGTGAAGAAGTCAAAGGTATTTGAATAATTAAATTTTAGGCAATATTTACTTGAATGTTGGTGGAGGTGCTTTTCCTAGCTCAACAATTTACTTAAAAGTGAAAGGATCTGAGAAAGCAAAATGGTCAGAAACAAAAACAGTTTGGGAAACAATACCAGGAACAAATCCTCCATAAAGATAATCAAAATAAGTTACAGAACATTATGATAATGAAAATGAGTTTTATCAACATAAGATTCCAGTTTACATATTTTAATAAGGGTATTATATATGAATTGATATAAAAGAATGATACCATAAGGATAATATACATTTCCTTTTGGCTTCAAATTAAAAGAGAATCTTCCAGGATCATTTGAATATTCAGAAAAAGATTTAGAATGTAGAATAAGATATAGTGTAAAGGCAGAAATAGATTCACCAAATAAGAGTTTAGATAAAATTAAATATAAATAAGAATTTTTAGTAAGAGAACCTATTAAAGAAATTGTTAACTAAACAGAAGGATAATAAGTTTTGTAACCTACATCATGCTGTTGTATACCTTTAGGAGTAAATTAAATATAATCTATGTTTTTAGACTATATTTTTCAAATTTCAATTTGATAAAACCGCTTATTAACCTGGAGATATTGCTCAATTATAAGTGGAAATTGATAATTCACAATCTAAAGTTGCTATACCTACAATCACAGGAAGATTGACAAACACATTAAGAATTGTGAGTAAATAAGGACATTTTAGATTGATACATAGAGTATGTGGAAACTCTATGATTCCAGGACTTTAACCTGGTTAATCTGCTATGAATGAATAAAGAAAAAATATGACTTTAACTTTAATGGATTAACATAAACATAAACCTTTGGATCCAACTACTAATGGAAAGGTTGTAATGAATAATTATCAATTATCTGCTACTGGAGAATTAGATGGAATATGTTTATGTTGTACATAAACTCCAGGGATTGAATTTCCTATAAGAATTGTTGCTAAACCATTACCAAGTTATGATCAACCAGTTGTTGCTCCATCTGGATGGAATCCTTAAGTTATGAATGTATAATACAATCTTTAATATTCTAGCCTGTTTCTGTACAATTTGATGATTCTTATAAATATTAACCTGCAACTGGTGGAGTATTGCTTCCTGCTCAAAATTAAAATCCACAAGGATATTAAAACCCTAATCAACCCTATTATGGATGATTTATATAAATAACATAATATAAATATTTTTAATTCCTATTTCCACATTTATGTTCTCATTAATCTAATACAAATGAATTACTATGTTTATATAAATGATTTTGAAAAATAACAATCATAATTATAATAAAAATTTTCATGGGTTCAATCTGTGGAACCTCCAATAAAAGAGTCATTCCAAAAACAAAGAAAGCACATTTAGGTTTAAGATCAGGTCAAACAATCTCCTAATAATCTGTGTTCTAACCATAATTAACTAAAAAAACATAAGAAATTAATCAAATTCATAAATTGGATATCTAAGATGAAGATTTAGTTAATTGGGATGATCCTATGAAGCATTGCACAAATCTACTTAAACCAAAAGGCTTTAAAGTTGCAAGAATACTTAAGACAACAAGTTCATCAATTACTGCTGAAGTTCTAGATGTAACTTAAATATCAAATATTTTAGGGTTTTGGAACATAATTAATATTTAAACGCTCTCTTTTTGATAATTTTGATAATGCTTCAAATAATATATCATATTTGTATAACATGAATAAAGTTAGTACAGATGGTTTGTTAAGATTTACTTCATTAACAATTAGTTAATTTGAATCAATCAATGTTTAATTAAGACCTGATAAAACTCTTTATGCTATTGATAGAATGATACCAAAATACAATACTTTAAGTGATTCTCTAGAAAATTTAAAATTAGAATCTCTTATGTAAAGTTTACTCATTTTGGAACAAGTAAGTGATGCATTAAATTAATTACATAAAGAGAAATTTGCTTATCGTTTTCTCAGACCTGAAAGTATCTTGACAAAGGATGGTAAAAAGTTTCTATTAAGTAATCCTTCAATTTAAACAAATCATAAAGAATAAGTAATAAATTAAATTATTTTAGAAAATTATCAAACATTTTGTTTAATAAGAGAGTGATTACTATATCTACGATTGTGTCATTTTTTCATTATTATTTCTTTTTTTAGTAGATCATAAGATATATACATTTGATTCTCTCATAGAGCTTAGATTAAATTAAAATGAATGGGAAGGGTAATATATATATTTTATTAATTCAATTTAGATTAGTTGATAATTATAAATAGTCAATTGCATCTTAATTTGAAAATGATGTCCCATAAATGATTATGTAGTTAATTGAATAGATGAGTGTATTCGATAAATTTGAAATTCCTAAAATGAGTGATATTAATCATGCTATTAAAAGTGTTAGATAAAAAGGAATGTAAACATATTTTAAAAATGATTCACTTGGTGCTTATCTACAATATCATAAAGAAAAAACATTGACTGAAGCCTCTCCATGGATGTATTTCACTAAAGCTAATTAAATTCATTTGTATAATTATGAAACAAATAAGTTTCATTTTTTGAAGGTTTATAGAAAGAAGTAACCATTTAAAATTGAATCTGATGTAATTTATCATCCGAATGAAGATAAGTTTTTTTTTTTTAGTCATAATACATCTACTTTTTTATTAAAAGTTTATGATGAATCACATGATAGAGGATGTATTAGTTAAAAAAGAGAAGTTGAATTATTTAGAAATATTAAAAGTGTTAAATTTGAAGATCCACAATTATTGGTTATTAATTTTTCAGTCGAAGATGATGTTGTATATGAGTAACCTCTTGAAGTAGTAGAAGATAAAAAAGATATAAAAAAAAATAACAAGTAATAATAATAATAACAGAATGTCTTAGATTAAGAACCTAAATTATTATCAAAAATTATGATTATGAATTAATAATAATCTCTTGATGAAGCTACTTAAGAAGTTTATTTTAATTCTTATGAAGTGTCATTTAATTTAGAATTGGTAAAAAATGATAATGAAGAAGATATTTATAATTATGGAGATGAAGAATTTATAAGCAAGAAAGTTATAAAGATATATTAAGGTCCTAAAAATTATTAATGGCATAGAAGTTCCTTTCATTTTTTTGATCCACATAACAATTGTATTTATTGTATACCTGATTACAACAATGTTTTCTAAAATGGAATTAGATATTGTTATTATGATATTTCAAAGAGAAAAGGAAATTTTAAAGAAGGATTATTAAGATTTGCTTGTAGCACAGATGAAATATTCAAGTAATTTTGTTTGTTAAATTTTAAAATAAAACATATTGTATTTTGTATAGAAGTTTAACATGGAGTGTTTTTAATGTAAGCATCAAAAAACATATTTATATTGGATTTTAATTTTAGATGTTTTTATTCTTTGGCATCACTTACTTAATTACAAAATTATAAAGAAAACAATAAAGAGAATCCAATTTTGTATTAAAATGCTTATGAAACAAGAAATTTACCATTTGAATTAAAATGCTTAGATGCTGGAGGACATAATTATTTATTTTAGAATGGGTATTTACATTGTTTAGCAAGAAAAGAAATTGAGACTGTTCATTGTATATTTAATATTCTTCCAAATTAAGCATGTATTGAATTATTGAATTGTTATTCTTTACATACAGGTTAAGATTTATTGCTTTTTATTCCAAAAACTTTGAATTTTGTTATAAAAGCCTAATAAAAATAGTTGGATGAAAGCGTGTTTCGAAGATATTCAAAAGTAAATTCTATTTAGTAATGAGTTTAGCATGTACGATAATATGGTGTGATAAAAGATTTATATGCAGATCATAATGAAGCTTATTTGAGTGCTGAAACAGTTGAAGAAAAATAAAAGTTTTATTTACATCAAATCAAGGTTGAATCCTTAGTCGAGGTTTCTTAGTTATTTCAAGCATTCAATAAGAAGATTTTATCAAATATTCTATTAACTCCAATTGAATATTTTGCATGTTCTGAAGAAAGTATCAAAAACATTTAAAATTAGAAAACTCTTTTTATATGTATTATGTAAATGAAGAAATTTCAACTACTTTAGATTCTGAAGTGGAAAATAGAAAATTATATAAAAATCCTTTTGAAGCAAAAGAATTAGCATTAATTGTAAAAATTATCTTTAAGGCTTTAAAAGAATTGAAAGACAATTAAATGGAACATGGAAACTTATCAACTAATAGTTTATGTTTTACAAAAGCTGGTATAATTAAAATATCAGGTTGGTATGTAGCCAATAGAAAAAATTTTTCTACTGATATTGATGATGCAGTTAAAGTATTATATTGTTTGGCAACACTTTAAAGAGTATAAGATATTGAATAAATGGATTTTGCAGATCCAGCAATATCGGTTTATGATGGATTAAGTGAATTTTTAAAGTCAACTTACAAATTACCAAAAAAAACACCCTATATGAATATTTTAAATTCAGCATTAAATTTAAGCAAATAATTGACAGCTTAAAATGTAGATTTCAATGAAATGTAAAGTAAGGCTTAAGCAATCTTATGGGTTTCTTATGGTTAGAATTATATAATAATTACTCCATTAGAAAATATGAAAGATCCTAGATTCATGAAAGTCTCCATTTTAAAACCAAATTAAAGTAATTTTAAGATATCTAAACATTGTATGTTCACTTTTAACTTTGTTGATGTTATTTATATTTCTGGAGCAATTAAAGAAGATTTAAAAACTTAACATCTTTACGAATGTGCTTACAATAAACACAAAGATACATAAACTGTTACTTTAAAGAGATTGCCTGACATTCCAGCTCCAATCTTAAGTCCATCCTTATTATATGCTGAAGGTAAAATCTATGTGATTGGAGGATATGAACTGAAGGAAAATCTTCATAAATAAATAACTGATAAGTTCTTTGTATATACAATCAAAACGAAATAATGGTAATATTATTATTCTAATCAAATATAGGAAAACCTTAAAAAACCTACCCATTAACATCTATGGAGGAACTGCTTTACATGATGAGGATAAAAATATTATATACTTATTTGGTGGTGTCTCAAGTGAAATTGATCTTACTTCCGATAAACTTATTTATTTTACTTATGATATCTTAAAAGATAATTGGGATTTTAATGTTGATTTATCTTTTAAATCTCCATTTGTTAATTCACGCTTTACTAAACCTATTGTAGACATGGTAAGTCCAAAATTATTTATTTCATATTATAAAACAGAAGAAGAATTTTTTATCGAAGTCTTTGAATTAGTTAAAGCTGGTGTTAGTTTAAAATTTTAAATTAAAAATCCTATAGCCAAAAAAAAAAATGAAAAAGAAAATTTAGAAGCTTACTCTGAAAAAGCTCCAAGAGATTATGAAAGAACTTTGTAAGATGATTTATCTATGGCTGTTTATAAAGATTCTATTTATGTCTTGGATGAAGAAACCTAAAACCTCAATATTTTCAGAATCAAAGATGTATTTCATCCTTAAATTGATATCGTTAAATGTTAAATTAGAGATAGCAATCCTATTACCATTCATTTAGTTTAATAAGAAGCATAATAATGAATAAACTTTTAATTTAATGTAACAATTTATTATAAAGTATTATCCTAATAATCTGATTTTTCTTCTCATTTTTTTGTAAATCTAATCTATATATATAAAAATAAATTATTTTAGTTTTCTCGAATTCATTCAATCATTAATCTAACTGATATTTTTTGTAGTATCTAAATTCTTAAAAATAATATATATTGTAATTGATTTTTTTTAATTTTAACAGTTCAACTTGAAACTTTTGATTAATATATCATCTGATCAACTCTTTGATAGTTATAAAATAGTTCAATAAATTAAACCAAAAATACTATTTACGAAAAAAAAATTTAATTTAAACATACAAAAATATATGATTATAATATTTTGGTAAATTTTAAGGATAAGATAATAAACTATATATGTTCATTCAAAAATAAAATAATATGTACCTAATTTATTTTGACAGGATTAACAATAATGTTGAGCATCTTTGTAGTACTTATTTATCATAAACTTAATATTATCATACAAAAATGTAAAAAAACGAAAAAAAAAGGAGCAAAAGCAGATAAGACAACTTCCCAAAACTGGCTTAGATTCCACTTTAGATATCATTACACACTAATATGTATCACATTATAAAACTTAAGGTTTTTTACTTTAAGATTTGGAAGGTGCAATCAAGATTACTTACTGTTATTAAATCTTATTACATTTATCTTCTTTATTTGATTCTTTATTCCAAAATGATTTATTTTCATCACATACCTCACTAGGATGATCTAATTACTTTTTTTAGAGAATCATCTCCTATTGTTATTATCTCTACTATAACACTAAATTTTAGGACAAAGGTTATTGAATAAGTTAGAATCGATCAAAAATAAATTAACCAATTATGGGTATCAAATATAAAATTTTAAATTTATCGATTATTTGAAAGAATCATTTATGAAAATATCATTAAGATAATTGCTAAATCTTTATTTAAGAAAGAATTTAAAAAATTTCTAATTAAGAAATCGAATTTAAAAATCGCAATTGTATCAAAATTCTACCCTATTGAAATTCCTTCAAATCTTCACTTTATTATGCTCATAATATTTCATTTTTTCAAAGTCATCTAAGATTTTTAAATTTATTCAAAAATCATATCTAATTTTGCTTAAATTTCATACAGCTACTCTGAGATTTTTATGAACATTTTTTA